CGTGAAGCGAACAGTGTCAAACCTGTCAATTCTGATGTTCTCTGACAAACGCCAATCAAGCCCCTCTGCCACCAAAAGCTGCCCCACAAATCACTATCACGCGCCTTTGCTGTTCCTCTCAGCCTCATGGAGCTCTTATGCGTTTTTCAGCTCATTGTTCTTGTTGCACTGCCAGCAAATGTATTGTTGTGATTCACGCTCAGCGCTCTGGTGTTGTCTCCGGCTGCACGAGGAGAATCTAAAACCCCACCGCGTGTTCCGTTTCGTCTGACACTGAGCCGGTCCGACAGAGCCAGCGACCAGCTATGTGAACATCTTGCAGCCTTTAGCACGAAGGCTGTGATTTGGCATTTGACTTCCTCAGGAGTTCTTGAAGACACAACGAGGGGACATTGGACAAAATGAAACAGGCTAACTGATAGATTGTTAGTGTTTCTGCTTGTTCTGCCCTGTGGCCGAAAAACAGTTGAACCAAAGTGTAGCGTTAGGAATACATTTGTCAGAAATCCAAATTGTTTTACTCTCCTTTTACCATTTCTTATATGAAAACACATGTCCTAAACAGGATGTTTAGGATGTTTAATTTTGTGTTTTACACTTTTTATTTTTGCTTCATCTTTCATGACTTTGTTCTTTTTTTCCCGGCAAGCACTTGGAGGGAAAAGTTCTTTATTATAAATTCAAAATCTAGTTCCTGAGTTCCCTTGCAGTTGCATGAATAATCTACTTTTGTGTAGCCTCCCTCACCTCTGACCTCTTTGCAGAGAAAGAAATCATTTATATAATACAAGTAAATAAATGATCAGCTTTTTGACTCAGCATCCTTGATTAACTCTTTCTAAGAACAGGGCGAAATACATAACCCAGTTAACCAAAGGAATCCTTTTAATATTCAACAATTGCTGAACCATAAAAACAGCTACTTATTTCCTTCATACAATAAAATAATATTTTCACTGGGGCTCATAACTCAGTCAGGAAGCCGACACTTCCTGCTTTTGCTCATTGACTTTCCCTCCGGAGCAGCTCTGCCTCTGAGAAACTAAAACTCAATTCTGCGCCAGAGAAATGAGTTAATTTGACAGATCTGATATGAACGAGAACTACTTAATGTCTGTGCACCTTATGATCACGCTGCAGCCTTCATGCTGCCGCTTGGACTAAGATCTGCGCCCCGACGACAAAGAAGCAAACTAGTCAAGCCTGGTTTAACAACTGGACTACTTTTTTTCCCTATGTTTCTTGTAACTATATGAGTTTTTATTCCTTTTTAGTTGTGGCGTTTTTGCAGTCTCTTTTTGAGATTCCATAAAAAGCACTTTGAAATCAAATGAATGTGGAAAATATTCATTATAATGAAGCCCAGAAGTAGCAATAAGTGTACCAATAATAAAAGTTGTTCATATTCGGAGTCTTTTATCTTTTATAGGCGTCTCAGAGCGAACAAGTCAGCAGGCAGAGATGAGGAAGTGCATTTTCACAATGTGCCAGAAATGACTTTTCTCACACCGCAGCAGAATGCTTTCAAATCAGATCTTTCCGATGTGGCAACAAATAATCAAGGGGTCAAATAGCATCAAACCAATTCCGGAGATAGTGGAATTATGTTCCCATGAAGTCGTGTTTTATTGATAGAGGGAATTTCTCTCTGTATTTTTCAGAAGCCTTCTGGGGGGAGAAGGTGAGTAAAGTCCTTGAGGGACCGATGCCGGAGAGAAGACGAATAGAACGGACACATAGACAAAGGGAGAAAGATAATATATTACAATTACTTAGCTTTGATAGTTTTCTTGGTTCTCTGTCATGTCAAGAGATACAACATAATAGTTTTAAATTAATTAGACACTCAAAGACATTTTTATAATAATAAAGCCTATAATTAATGATCTATAATTGGGCAATCAAGACGTGTTCTTCTTCTTACCACCCTTCAGCTGTGTTGTTAAAAGGATACTCAAAGCAAAGACGGGATGATTCTTTGGTTCTAATTGGTTGTTTCATTGATTGTTTTGTGTTCCAACAATCATGCATTCCTAAGGTGATGTCAGACAGTGCAGCTCTGATGATTGGTAGTTAAGTTAGCGTGGGTGGCCGCTCCATAACCTGTGCAGGACGAGTAAAGTATACATAGTTTACTTTGGGTCTGCATCTGCCTTATTTCGTGGGTGTGCCGTCGATTGTGATCACACATGGATGCCAATGGCCATTGAATCTTTTTTTCCTTTGCTTGCTGTCCTTGCAAATTGTCACATTTTGCCACTAATTATAGGTTCCATTCACCTGTTTGAATGTAAAATGTGCATAAAACAGTTCAGTTCTTCCATAGCTGCATATGAACAGGTGCCTGGTCTCATTTCTGCTGCCAGCTATCTTTCCTAACTGTGTATGCTTTGTTGAATATGATCATGCAGCAGCGTCATCGGTGTTGGCAGCACGCTGTATCAGCGGGGAAATGAACCGGGCGCTGTGCTGCTCGTTCTGACTCACCACTAAGGTCTTGTTAATGCTCATTTGTGGGGTACAGATGAGGAAATTGGAGCCATGCAGAGTGGATCCATCCCCAAAATGAGCCTATTCGCACCTGTATGACCGTGCGTATGCAAATCATGTGTAAATCTCTTCACTTTTTTTCAAGCCAGGCTTATTTTGTAGGTGAGGCTGTGATGGATTCCCTCATGCTTCAAAATATAAACTCCTGCACAATTCTGAAACAAATACGGCCATTTAAAAGAGGGTGTATTGAGTCCACTTGTCGTGAAGGGTTATCATTCACTCCAAGTCCCCCTTGTGTTTAACAAAATTAGAACATAACAAGTTGAATGTCAACTGCTTTCAATATAATAACGGTTTGTTATTTGACGAATGGGACTCGTGACCAATACGCCTTTTCCGCGGTTGCCTCCCTGGTATGTTACCGTGACAGTTTGTAGTTTGCTGTTTCTTAGACAACTTGTGAAGTTGTTCATGTGTAATTGTTTTATCACATATGAACTATAAAAAACTATGAAGCATAGTAGGAGGGCACAGACTGTAACATGTTTGGTAGCGTCAGAAAATGTTAAAGTTGCATTGGTCTTGTTTTTGAGATGCTTGTATTAAGGAACTTTGTCTCCGTAGAAGTCACCTTAATAAAATAAAATAAAAAAATAAAGTATTGATGGGGATTACGTTTTCTGAAGCACTAAATCTTTAGGAAGATGGATAATTGTTCATTATTGATGAAGCACTTGTGACCAGTCAAGCTTTTCATTTTAGGCTTTCATGGATGAATTCAATCCGAGACCATAATGAGATTGTTTATACTTCCGTTGGTTTATTCAACCACCTTAATGATGCTTTGCATGCAAAGGTCACAAGACGTTTGTCCTTGGTGAAGTGAGGCATCCTTTCGCTTTCAGTCTAAGATACTTAGATCAGTCATTTTCTTCCACATTTACGACCGCAGCTCACCGGGGGGTCATAGCTTGGTTATGGACCAGGCCAGTGGGGGAGGTGCCCCTGTCACAACGTGCACTTCACTTCCTGTTTCATTTTGTAGAGCACCGATCCACACGTCTCAAATCACTTTACTTCCTGTCATTGTTCACTTTTCCCTCGCATAGATAAAGGCAGCCAAAGCTGTCCCCAGTTTCCCATCACACACACACACACACACACACACCTCAATCCTCAAACCCCAGCACCCACTCATTGCCAGACCGCTCAGTCGTACCAACGGCATGCTGCGGCCAATGAACTCGTCAGTTATCAGTTGGCGACACTGTTTAGCTCGTGTTTACCGGAGCCCCCAGACCCACAGTCCCCCCCATGGATCTCAAGATACGAGCCTGACTGACAACCCGCAGGTGGGTTTGGAAAGGAAGGTGTTCTGTCGCAAAAGCCATGAGGGCTCACTGCGCCTAATGGGCAGTGAAGTGAAACACACCATACAGCAGGTGAAGATTATGCATGCCTCCATGTCCCCTTCCTCCATCACCAGGCCGGTCCTTCTCAGCTCTGTGGATCTTGTTATCTAACTGTTGTCCCTCCAATATTAATTAATAGTGATACAATTCCGCAAAAAACTTGAAGAATGTTCAGTATTCAGTGTTAAACTAATTCTAAATAACTCTGGAGGGTCCCTGCAGTCTTCCTGCCTCCTGGCCTTTGAGGAAGTCAGTTGCAATGAAGATGAACGAGCGAGTTACCGCTGCGAATGAACACATCCGGTAGTTGTCAGTGTAACAGCCGTGAGGACGAATCGAGTTTCATTGTCATCTGTCATAAGAAGAGTGAATTTCAAAATGAATTTCTGCTGGCAGACTGCAACACATGACCTTGATGGAAAAGGGCCTGCGGTTGTGAGCAAAGTTTAAAGGTTGTGATGGTGAACAATAGCGAAGCCGAGCTGCTGCTGCTCGTACGGACCTCCACAAGGAAACACAGACTCCCCGTTTCATCCCAGTTAGAACACAAGCATATTATTTTTCTAATATTGTCTGGGTGATTGTCCCTGTATTGACCTAATGTATGAATTTTCATAAAATTCCGCCTTTAAAGAGCTGCTAAATTGGAAAGTCCCGGGATATTTGTGAACAAAACCTTCCATTGGAGGAAATGCATTGCGCTCTAATGACCTCTGACACAGATATCCAGTATATTAGTACTATTGGTACTTTTTCTTAATGCAGCTTTTTGTGCTCATTTAATTGCTTATCCAAAGAATTAAGTCTGTAACATTTGGGTTGCACAGAGAAAACAAAACGACCGCTGTTGTGGATGTCCTGCTTCTGCCTGGGAGGAGACACATGTCTGTGTCCACAGGGACCCATTATCCCACAATAGGCATCCCTGGTTTAATGCAGAGATATGCCACAATTGTAGTGGTTTTAGGTACTTGAGATGACCCCCAACATATAGATTCGGAGTTCAAACAACAAGCAGTCATGCTCTCACCGTGGGAGGTGGTGCGCTGTATTCGGACCTCCCTCCTCCTCCCTTTGCTCCTTCTTTTCCTTCCAACAGTGGATATTGTCGGGCGATGTGAGAGCACCCCCCCCCCCCCCCCTCCCCCCATCCCCCTCCCCACCGCCGGGTACCGACCGGCCCCTCAACCGCGTGGCAGGAGCGGGTGGCCACTGCAGCGCGGCGCAGCTGAAGGAGCGCACACGCGGGAGAGACGTGCAGGCGGAGGAGGCGCACGGAGCCAACGTCCCCTGCGCCGACCGGTGGGCTGATAATCTGCAGCATCCCGTCGTTTCCAACATGCCCGCGGGGACTGAAAGGCTCGCTGGGATTAGTGCGCTGCTCGCATCGCTGCTGCTGCTGCTGCTGCTGGGCTCCTGTGGGACAGGTGGAGAAGGTGGAGGAGGTGGAGAAGGTGAGCTGCGCTGCGCGCTGATGATGCTGAGGATTGATGCGGGTGATTGTTGCTCTAGGACATGAGTGGGCTTTTCAGGGCTCAGTCTCACAATGTAGTATATAGCTGCGCGGTGAGATTTAACTGTCTAAACTGTCATGACAAACAAGAGCATTAAGAAGGAAACATCTCAGTGTTTTTCTTTGTCTTTCTTTGTCTCAATATAAGAGCTAATAGAACGGAACATGGTAAAAAACATAATATGGGCTACTTTTCATGAAGCTATAATTAATCCCGACAACGGAAATATTGGTTGTTCAAAAGATTACAAGCTTCAATAACTATTTGCTTCAACAAAGGGAATACTTTAATCTGCTGATTATCATCCACTTGGCTTAATCTATAAAAGGTCCATTCAGGTCAAGCCTTTTCCTAAAAAAAAGTCAAGGAACATGCCATGAATGTTTTATAGCTCTCTTACCTTTTTTTTGCTTTTCTAAATAAAGAAATCCGGGTCCAAAAAACCCAAAGTCAAGGCAGTTTATTGTCCATTCTAATCAGTGCTGAGACCATTTCTCCAGTTTTGTAAGAATAGCGTGCGCAGTTTATTCTGTGAATCTTTCCTGGGTCTTAACTGATCACCTCATGTTTTCTTTTAAAGAATAATTGCTCACATCCTCAGGAGATTTTGTGAAGTTTTAAACAGGCAATCCCAAGTTGTGTTTTTATTTTAGATTGTTTTTATAGGAATATTTCAGTAGTAAAGGATAAACAATTTTTCTGTGACAGAGCTGCACAGGATGCTGCTGCTGCTCTTTGGCTTGAGCTTCACTCAGAACAGGTTTCAGAAAAGTGGATTATTGGGTAAAGGGATGAAAAGTTGCTTCTGGCTACTTAAGAAGTCCGATATTAAGGAATGAGAGATCTTACCTCACTACACGTGTTAGGAAATGTGAGATTTATTCCCCCTGCCGTCCCTGCGCATGCCGCTATTTTCCCCTTGGAGGTTTTAAGGAATACTCATTGCTGCATTCTCAAAGTTGTAGCCCACATGAACCCAGTGATCACTCCACTGCGATGGCTACTCTTTGAAAGACAGTTTTAATGAAGGCAGGTTTTAGGGGGACAACCCCATAGGCACGTTGAAAAAACCCATCCCTGAGGGTGTAGACAAGGGAGAAGTTTGCACTGTAACTGTATCGATTGCTTCGCTGCAGCAGCTATTGTGGTTGTATTGTTAGTATGGAACGAAACCGACCCAGATTCAAGTGAAATGGGCGTATTGTCTGTTTTCGGCTTAGACAATCTCCAAGAGACGGATAAAAAAAACCCTGAAATCTATTGTATCACTCCACTGTGCACCATATGTTTTAAAGCACATTGTAATTGCGTTAGTCAGAGTCTTTATCATCCACTTAACAACTGGTCCTCTGGCCAGATTAGGCCAGCAAAACGCTCTCACTTTTCCTGTTAACACAGTAAATGAACATTCCTCTCCAACCCTCACTTCAGGTGACAGTATAGACAACTTCTCTTACGCTCTTTTTCCAGTAAGTCAAAACTTTAACTTTGTGTCTATAAATATCACCATGAATTGCCTCCAGGAGACTTTTACATCATTATTATGCATATCTCCAAAATGTTGGTGTCTCACTTCTCTGAATGGATGAACTCATTAAAAATGGACGATACAAACAGACGATATTGCTGTTTTGGGATGATGTGTCCTGCAACCAATGCACAAATGAAGGCAAAAGAAAAAGTGCCTGTTGAACAAGTTTCCGCCTCCTGTTTGGTCAGACACCACAAATCACGCAGATGTGGATAATGACACACAGCTACGTGCACATGACACGCTTAAATTAGTGATTTAAAAAGAGATCTGGAGAGAGAGCAAGTATAGGTAAAAAAAAAGAGACGCCAGTGATGAATCCTGACCAGCCTCCAGTGTAAATCCAACGGCAGACAGAGAATGAGTTGGTTGAAACATTTGCAGGGAGGAGAGTTGATGTAAATGTGGGCCAAGCTCCGTTTCATATTCAAACAACACCGTCTCATCAGAATTTATTACATTTGAACGAGCTGGGGGTTATGCATTGAGAGCACATAAACCTCTGAATAAAATCAATGCGGTTTGAATGTGCGTAAAGTTTTCACTGCAAAACCCCGTCCCCGTCCTTTACGCTTGACGAGATGGGGGAGTCTTAGAGGGCCGCCTTGAGGAAAGAGCAAATTAGTGGAGGATAAATGGGCCCTTACTTTTCTCTTATAGCATCGTTTATGAAAATGTGTTTAGCCAAAGTGGAGTCATGAAGAGGTTCTGATTAAGTCAAGGTTACATAAAGGGGCGTGCTGGCGGTATAGTTGCTGTGGGCCTGGAGCTTTCAGTCATGACTCTAGATTTATGTATCCAGGGACAAGTAGTTAAGCGATAAAAGTGACAGAGAACCACGGTCCATCCATCTGCTTTTGTGACCTGAGGGATTTTGTATTTGCCCAAGGCCGACTCCCCAGTGGACGTCTGCCTCCTTAAAAACAGACCCATTCATCAAATGGCCCTGTCATTATCTCAGATGACGCGTTTTTGGTCCAGGAATCAGCCACATTGTGCTGAGTTCACATTATGAAGCATGAGTATCGTAGACACTGCGGGCGTCAGCTATCAGCCAAAAACACACTGTTAATGATGTTGGCGTAACGTGAATTCATCAGATTTTGTTCATTTTTCTAAAGTCAAGAAGGGTCCTTTCTTTTAGGAAAAGGAAATGTTTATTTAATTGAATTAAGTATTCGGTGTTGCAGTTATATTATATTCTGTAATATATTATCTACGTTGTATTGCAACACTTTTTATATCTTCACACGTTGTGCGTAAAATCATGATCTGCACCATGATTACAGTATTAATATTATGGTAGGACGTACAGTATTTAGTACAGTTAAAAATATTCATCTAGAATTATAAAGTAATATAATTGAAATAGCAATAGTGAACTGTGACAGAAAAATTTAAAAAGGGAAAAAACAGCAAGAGTTTGAAGACAAAGGAATGGAGAGTATGTAAAAAAAGAGAGCGAAGAAGTGGAGGAGTTTGGTTCAGTGTCCTGGTTAAAAGCGTCTGTCTTAAAGCCATGAAGGGACCCTGCAAACTCCTTCTCTCATTTCACCCATCAGTGGGTTTTCTTTTGTTGTGTGTCTGATTAATTTGCCTCATCTCACCTTCACAGAGCTGCAGGTCTCTTGTGCACAGCTGTACAAGTTTCAGCAACAAAATCATCATCAAAATCAACAATGTCTTGACATGGTCCCTCGTTGCTATTTCAGTCTCAATCCATTAAACAGCCAATTCAGATCAGATCAGAAATTAGATTAACTATTAACACAGTTGAAGAGGACTTAACCTGCTGCTTTGTTCTCCCCCTTTGCAATTCAGCTTTTATATTTGCGGGTGGTACAATTAGAGCGCTCCATGTAAATGCCTCTTGAAATACAGTAAGTAGTAATTCTAACCATTAAGACTCTATTATGCCGTGATTCTTTTCCGACCTCTCATTTTTGAAAAGGTTGATCCTTCAGACATTTCATTCAGACCACAAAGAACCATTTCAACTTGGGGTCAAAGGGCAAATTCTGGCTCCGTCAATGTGTCTCTTCTTAAACTGACACCATGAGAATCCTTACGTTCCATCGTGCCGAGTGACTATCAAGTAACCTGGAATATTGAATCGATTAGCGTTTGTTTTTGTTTGTATAGAATACAATCAAATCATAATTCACTATAATTGCCTTCTTGCTGTATATTTTTATTCTGCCGTTACAATACGTCTTCTGCTGTGACCCCAATACATTTTACATAACAAAAGAAAAAGCAGGAAAATGATTTTCATGATGAAATGTAATGCAGCATCTGAACAAAAATCTAAAAGAAGTATTTGTTTATATTAGGAGACTATGCCTCCCAAGAAAACCGGTAACCCATAAAGTTGTATATTTTTTAAGTGACAAATCAAATTGGATAGCATTAGTTAGTTATAGAGGCACACAGTATGCAGCGGGAGTAGGTGGATGGATGCGTCAAAACAACGAAAAACACCGCTGAGCGTCTCCTGTTTCCCACCAAAAGTCGATAACAAAAGTCTGGTAGCCTTAATCAAATCATTTGTTATAACTCAAACCATGGAATTGCTGCAGGAAAAAGAGAAGCATTATCATTAGACTGTCTTTATTGATTTAATTTGTGAATACAATTACTTAATGAGAGATGGCATAGGAAATACATAAAAATATGATCCATTAACAGAAGTCTCATCGTATCCTCCATACATCTCCCCTCAGGTCCATCAGTGGAAGCGATGTAACTTGTAGCCATTGTAGCAAATCTGCATAAGACACGTTTCATTGTCACAGATTTTTAATCTTACTTCTCGTTACTGATGTATGTTCTGTATATTTCGTTTGGTTTGTTTGTTTGGTATTAAACATCCCAGACTGCAGATAAATGTTTAAATTGCTGCTTTGTTGCATTGCAAATTTCGTCTGATCATGTATTTCTGCTTATTAGGTCTGCCTCAACCAACAGACGGATGAAGAGCTGGAAATGAGGAACAAGCATTTTTCTCATAGTTTAGCAGTCAGTCCGGCAGCAGAGCATCTCATTTAAGCTGCCGGGCTCAAGTCTGGATTCATATTAGTCACTCAGCCAAATCCCTATTGGTTTGGATTACCGGTACACAATTCTGGATGATTCAACAAAATACTTTAAACTGACGCCTCACGGCTCGGATAGCCGCGTTACTTAGTAAAGTGCGTGCACTTGTGAGGGCTTTTGGAAATTCGCTATCAATCACAGCTGGCTTGACGTATGAAGTTGCCATAACTTCGAATACAGTTTTTAAAAGGGCGACGTAGTCGACATTAAACTCTCTACTCTAGATGGCATCCTTTTAAGTACCAATCCCCTTTTCATTTCTCGTCCTGTCCTTCGACCTTTTTTTTTTCACATGCATGTTTGAATTGACAGAACGTATAACGTGTCGCTTAACTTGTCCAGTGGAATAACGACTTGGCGTTTCACCACCGTTGTAGTAAAAAAAAAGTTACTGCAACATATCAATCCATAGGTCCAATCCAGCTATCCGTGATTCTGCTTTGTGATTGCTTAACAGAGGCGTGTGACAGCCCGCTGGTGGGCAGTCTGCCCCCGCCATCGTTCAGAAGCTCCTCCCAGCTGACCAGCAGCCATGGGCCCGTCTTTGCTAAGGTCAACAGGAGGGAAGGTGAGGGATCCTTCGTTGATATGTGCTTAATTCATTCAACAACCCATAGTGCACATGTATAGATGGATTTTATTGTGGTAAATAATCAATGCTCTGATTTCCAATGAGTCACACGTTCATTGTTGCTGGACTTTGTGCCTGTACTTCATATTTAAAAAAGGCAGGGGATGAAAGACTATCTGGTAAACAAGAGAAACAAAACGTCATATTAGTATCTGAGCCAACAGCTCAGATGCTAAATAAGTAAATGCATTTTTAATAAGATTATCATTTTATGAGACAGAAGTTCTAAGGTTTTCGGTCTCCTTTTTTATCTCTTTATTTAATCTTTACTTTCGTTCACGGTATGAACGAACAAAAAAATATGCCTCCACTTAAAGGTAAATAATTGCCGGCTATGGAGCTTTTAGGAGGCAGATTTTTCTATTTCCGCAGAGCTCAGTTACCGACTGAAGAGCCACAGTGGAAAATCTTTTACTCCAACTGTAATAAAGTATGACAAACTTGAAGATAAATCAGCATTGCGTTATTGTAAGGGCTGCACAGTGAATTCCCTGCATGCATACCAACACATTGTAGGAAATTGATAGGAAATTATTGTGCTCATTTCTTGGCTTTCTGCAGCCGATCCTGCAGCAGAGGTTGACAATTTTGTCTCAGATCCTTGTTTGTTTATTGTCCATTGTTAATCATATTTTACCAAGTCGAAGGAAATCTGCAATATTTACTTCAAGATTGCTTCATATTACATTTTCAAATACATCAAAACAGAAGCAAACCGCAAGTAAAAGAAAACAGTCTTCTGAGCCGGGACAATTCTTCTCCTCAACGTCATTAACCAAACTACAGATTGAGTCTCATAATCTGTGTTCACTCAATATGTCAATAGTCAAAGTCCTATTTCACATTAATTAACAATGAAGGGTTGAATTGGAGCACAGGTATAATCCAGCTATAATCACAATACACAAAGTAACCACAGAAAACTACTCGTTAAAGTGAGTAAAGTTTACTCAATTCTAATATCAACGATAAAGTCACAATATCATCCACTGTAGTATTCCACGTTACCAAAATCATAAGAAACTCCCAGTTGGGAGACTCAGACTGGCTGCTTGTTGTGTAGTTCATTGTTTATTTCAAAGATATACAACGCGGTGAAAACCAATTTATAGAGCTGACTGTATCTGCAGAGATTATTCCCTCTGCCTCTATTGAATTGTTTAGTGTTAGGTATGTTACTAGAATTCAAAATGTTGCGTACACTACATAACTAGTAGACAAGAAAATGTCTTGTTCGTCACAAAGTAGTTATAACAAACTCTTAAAATCAGAAGCCAAATTGCCAGCTGGGAGATGGAGGATACAAAACTCCCACTGGCCCTCAGTGCTGCCAGTTAGTCCCATATGGGGGCTGGCATTGACGCGAATGTTCACACATGGCATTTAATCCCATTATGATAATGCCCACTTACAGTGCAGGCGAAGGCTGGACACTAAACGCTCCCAACAGCATAGACATGTAATATTACTTCTCCTAGATGCTCAACAATGTGCAAAGCAGACATTTAGCGCAACGTGAGGTCGAGGCCATAGGTTACTCTAAGAAACGGCACAATGTTAGAGGCTAGAGAGGCTCAATGAACAGAGCCGATGGTCTCAGTAATCACTTCATTATGCTCAGGGGTCTTTATTTCCCCAAAAGTGACAAGTATTATTTATTTAAACTACACTACTCGAGACTTGCCCAAGTGGATCAACTCTTTACAATTAAAGGCTTGTAAGTTGAACAGCTCTGCTAAATTTGACCCATGTGTGTTCAGTCTGCACTCAACCAGCCAATATCAGCAGGTAAAGGATTCACTGGTGCTTTCATCAGAGTTTGAGTGTTTAGGATATTGTTTGTTATCTAATCAAGAAATAGCTGAATCTCATTAACTGACATCACATAAAAAAGGCAAACCACAGACCTTAACTCTGTCATTCCTTAAAGTAAGAAAATAATCAGGCCAGTCGTGCTTGGCAGTGCAAACCCGGTTGGCCTAATTGGCCGACTGCTCGTGTGCAAGTATCAGCAGAGGTGAGGAGCTGAACTCTGCAATGACGTCAAGCATTTCTCCAAAACCTTTTCTTTTCCTCCTCTTACATCTTCCCTGCTTTCGTTCCTGTTATTATCATCACTGCAATGTTCTGCCACTCTCTCAATCAGGTCTGCTGTAATTGTAGTTTAGTAACGGCTAAAAAACATTGAGATAACCTTTTAACCATCTTGTAGCCAAATGTCAATGACAGCATTTAGCCAAATGTTAATGGCGGTATTTAACATCTAAAAAATTCAGTTCAGTGGGCCATGCTGATAATTGCACATTAAAAACCAAGTGATTACACTGAAGTAGGCCCGGAACACTTCATCAGCACGTTATGATTTTCTCCAAGTCCTAATTTGGATTTCAAAAGAGGACTCAAAAATTAGCAGGTGGCTGTAGGTTGAAATCAGCTATGTGGGGGAACCATGAATGAGCTAATGAGCTTTGTGTGATGTTGATGCACCACCTTTAAGTGACTGCTTAATGCTGCTCTTTAACATTTCATCTGGTTAAATACTACAGCTCCTCCACTCAAATCCTCCTAATTTCAACTTTAAAGTAGTCACTCTGACCATGAAATGTAATTATACGGATACAAGTGCCTCGATTCCTGGAAAAACATATATATGTTTGAGCCAGTAATCCATATTATCCTTATTTCCAGATACAGTGTACCTGTCTGCATGATTGACACTCTGTTCCGTTCCCCTCTTGTTCTCGGTGTTGAGGGGAGTGACAATGTTCACTTATTTGTAGGAATGCACTATTGTTTGGGATTTCTTTGGACTTGTTGGAGAACTTATGTAGGACACATTTTCCATGTGCATCCTTGCACAGGATTGACCTTTTTTAGTGGTGAAACTGTTTGTTTTACTAACCACTGGATATACGTTTGGAGAATGAAATATTTTGCACTCAATACTACAATTTAGTTAATGTTTATTTAAAAATCTGTTCTTGTTGAGCAACCATGTACTAATCCAACCTGTATTGATTTTTCCTTCCGTCTCCCATCGACCAGCACAACACAATTTCCTTGGCGCAAATACATTTCTTTTTCAATTAAAGACTACGTTGAGGCAGAATTTAACATTTGAGAACTTTTGTTTCGTATTCAAGTAATTGAGATTTTGTAGGAAAATGTTTTTCAAGGACATTAGAAAGTCTTCTGATTAAAAATGTAACCTGGTGTGACTAAATTATGTTTTTCTTATAGGTTAAGTTAGCCAGTGCTCAATATTTGCAGATAACCATCATGTATATTACTGCGTATGTGTGACAGTGATGCCTTTGATCACCGTGCATACTTTCATGAGCCCCGCGGCCATAGAGGGAGAAGCAAACGACCGGGTTAATGAAGACTATTTATTAGATTAAATAAACCAAAAAGGCAATTCAAACTAACAGGGGCGTGTGGTGTCAGTAACTTCGGGATGAGTGGAAAGTGTGTATCCAATGCTGTATAGTGTAGAAACAAACCATAACCATTAACTAAACACAAACTGGGTCTCTAAGAAAGGAGCGAGAGACACCTCGCGAACACAAGGAGGCTTTCTACAGAAGGCCCTGGCACAGAGGGCCGGTGTTTTGCCTGCGCCACTGGACTCCAGCCAGCGACGTCTCGATACCTTTGCTGTTTCAGCACCACCCCTGCTCACGAGGGGCCTCTGGTCGGTCGTCTTCTGATGTGACTCTCACAGTCTTTTAGACTGCTTTATTGTAGTAATGTGTGACTCACCAATGCAATTTTCCCGACCTTTGTTTCACCACGATCACCTTCCTGAATGGAGAAAAAGCTCCAGTGTCTTTGCAGACAGTGAAGAGAAAGCGAGGAGATTTGGTGGACGGTAAAGCGATGTGTGCATGACGGACACTAATCAAACAGGTGGTGTGTGACTAACATGGTGGATTTAGTCAATGGGTTTCTCCTTATAGGGTTGAGTGCACACATTCTCTTCTCTCTTTAAATTTAGGGCACGATCTTCTGTTCCTTCAATCCCCATCTACCTCTTGCTTTTTCTCTTTCCATTTACTTTCTCTGCAATACTGTAGATGCCATTTCATTTCGCTCTCACACCCTCTGCGTCGGTCTCGCCGTCACTTTTTTTTCTCTCTTGTCTGCGTTCAATTATTTCCTCTCCAATCCAGCTGCAACGGGTAAAGGTCACTACGTCTGGTCTCCCCTCGTGTGCTGTCAGTGCTCGTGTCTGTTACGGTGGTACTTATTAGCTCTGGCCTTTAGCTGCTGCCCTAACAAGCAGGCAGCACTTGTCCAGGGGGGAAAAAGGACATAAGAGGAAAGACTCAGCTAATTTAACGTGCATATATTTCTTATCAATATATCTGATTTTGTAAGAAAATTGAAAAGATTATGTTGAAAACTTTCATAGTGAAGATAACACATGCAGTCCAGTGAAAACCGTTTCTTTATTCATGAGTACATTATAATTTGGTTAATATGCTTTTCAAACACACATTTCTGTAATTACATGTTACATCATTGACAACTTGCAAATGGAATTGTGAAATTGGAAGCTTCCACATTGAAAAGTGTATTCATTGTCTTCAATGAATACATTTGGGTGTCAGTGCTTAATGCACATCCATGTTATGGTCCAACAGAACTAACGCAGCCCTGCACAAAGGAATTATTTGGCAAGCTGCGATTAACTAATCGATTAATTGATCAATTGTTGCAGCTATTTTCTATTTGGTAGTTCTTGGGTGTTGGCATGGATGCTTGCTCACTAGAATAATTTCACATTAAGGACACGACAATGCAGAGATCTAAAAGTTTCTATTCTCTGAGAATTTTTTCACTCTACCTCAAATTAACGGGCATCACCGGCTCTCGCCCTTGACCAATTTCAAGAGGAAAAAACCCCCATCTGTCCAGCGCTTACGCGCAGCATCCTAATGGAGTGTGTTGTGTTATGATGATTTTCAATGTCAGGATAAAGTAGGTTTATAATAGATGGGATTAGGGAACGTGTTGCCTTCAGGCTTTCGCGTCTAAAATCTAACAAGTTACGTTGCCCTCATGTCAGCACAACATCATTTTTGCAACAAAAGCACGAGTTGTCTTTTGGCTGCCCGTGTGCGATCTGTAAGTTAGACGTCTCTCTCCATCTGCTGTCCTGACTCAGCACTTCTTCTTCAGTACTCACACAGACGCACGCACACACTTCCAAGTATTCTGTCTACACATGTTGTTGCAGCCTTTTCCATTCCCTCCGACGTTTCTTCATAGTCCGGTCCTGCCATAGATCTCGTCTCACTCATGCCAGCATCATCAGGACGGGAAATGGAATTGCAGCTGGATAATGGAACACAGATCGGCTACTGTTGTGAGACAACTCTAATTTTTATCCTCTGACTACTCAACAATTTCAAGAGATCTGAATAAAAAAGCATCCAACACAATGTGAGGGATATTGTTTGTTGCGTACATGTTTTTCGTTTTCAATGCATGTTCATTTATTTGGCTTTTCTAAAGGATTGTGCCAAAAGATCAAACTCACTGGCAGAAAAAAATAAAGGGAAACTGGATTGTGTGAATGTTAAAAGGGGAGCAAAAGATGAAATATCTGGGTGGGAATCAGATGGAGGTCCTTTCTCTCCTCCTCTATCATGGCACAAACCCTTCAATACTCCTCTTTTACCTGCAGACTTTTTAGTAGACTGAGTGTGTTTACTGTAATCACCATGGTTTCTATTATCCTTCTTCCAACAGTAGTGTACACAGTATCAGTTCCTTTTTAGTGCATTTTAAACAAAGTTAAAGGTTAAAAATGCTATGTTACGCATAGCGGTCAACAGAGGACCCTGGGTTCTGCAGGCACTACCTTTTTTCAGACTATAACATGAACACAGTGCAAATTAAACGTATAAATCTCGTGACCTCCTGCTCAGTGGCTGCAACAACGACCCACAAGGACGGAAAGGAGACATTTTACTTCGACAAAGCATAGGAGGGAGGTCGGCGCTACAAATCACCGTTAAAAAGACATTCAGCTCAGTGATTTGGGTCATATCAGTGTGGAATTCTGAATAAAGGACTTATCAGCATATTGCACTCCCATAAAACACCGAGCAGATATGTTAAACGGCAAGACGCATCTTGACACTTTAGTTGTAGAGAGTCATTAAATTACTTTATTAAATACTATCCTGCAGTCCAATTTAATCTAGGTGTGTGCATCAAATAAACTTAATGTCTCGATTGTGAGGATTTATTAATAATAATGAAACCAGAGGAAGGTGAATCGTAAGGTTTTACATTTAAACAGTTAAATGAAGCAGGGTTTAGTGCAGGGTTTAGTGCTCACCACTAATCACTATACAACAAAAGCATTCAGATAAGATGATCCTCTATTAATCCCACAGCGGGGAAATTATCATTACAAGGGTGGATATTGCAACAAAAAAACATCAGTATATAACATGAATAAATTCTATGTATGTTTAACCTTCTCTTTGGCATTCATGTCTGCAATTTCCTTTCCACGAATCTATGGACAACGAGCCTTCTGTATTCTCATCAGAACTGGATGGGCAGCTTTAAAGTCGCAGCACGAAGCATCTTCTGCCTGACTGTAAACTTGCAGTTTTAAAGATTCATTTCAAGTAGTTTAAAATGTAATGAATCAAATTTCTCTACTGCAATTCTTTTCCCAATTTATGCACACATGCACACACACACACACACACACACACACACACACACACACACACATACACACACCCGCCCGCCCACACATCACATGCACACCATCACCATGATTAACATACGGTCTTTGTCTCTGCCCCTGTGCAGGAGCTGGAGGTTGGTCCCCACTCGTCTCAGACAGATACCAGTGGTTTGAGGTCGATCTGGGGAGGCGGACCTGTATCACTGCTGTTGCTACCCAGGGACGCTACGGCAGCTCTGATTGGCTAACGGCTTACCTGTTGATGTTCAGCGACACGGGTCACAACTGGAGACAACACCGGCAAGAAGACAGTTTCGGGGTAATCACAAAACCACACAGAAAAGAAGGGAATGCTAATATGCAAAAGAAAATAGGTTTCAAAGTAAACCTAATGTTGCCAGATTACTTTTCTTGGTGGTCAGTAACAGGATATTACATGTCATTTAGCTGACGCTTTTGTCCAAAGCGACTTACAATAAGTGCATTTCGACCATAAGGATACAAACTCAAAGGAACAAGAAACAAGAAAGTGCAATTTCATCAAATAAGCCAATTTAAAACTAGCTATAGATAAGAGCCATTATAAGTATGATTTAAGTGCTACATTTTGTTAGTGTTTTTAGTCAAGGTAGAGCCTGAAGAGGTGTGTCTTCAGTTTGGACATGTACACTCAGTTGTCAAATTGTCCCTACTCCCCTAAATTATGTTTATAAAATAATTTATGTTAAGATGAGGATGCAATAACCTTTTGAGCATCTATGAAGATCTCTTCAGAGGTAGTGCAGCTCATGATTGGAGCTCATTAAGGTTAAATGAAACGCCACGCACATAATTGTCGTCATCTGTGGGGACTGGTACTGCCTGCAGCGGTGAGTCTGCTCACCAGGAGACCTTCACTCCTTATTAATAATGGAATGAACAACAAAAGGAGCCTCAGCAACGCTCTGTCAGCTGCACAAAGCTGTTGTCAAACAGTTGAACCTCATCTGACGGGAGGCTGGTATTGCTGTTAGAAAGACTGCCTGCTGTGCAAAAAGTCACAGTTTTGATTCCTGCAGGGGCAAAGGGGTTGATCGTCACTCTCCAAGCCAGACGCTGATGGTCCCTTTGGCTCGGTCCTTGTGGGCCAGTGTTGATAACAGTGACTGCTCGGTGTCTAAAATGTAGACGGATGTGAATGAGGAAGCGAATACAAGCATGTGGTGATTTGAATGTTCTTTAGTGCAGCCGATAATCAAGTATGTATAAAGTCCTCCCTCGCTTTCCCCCCAAGTTGAATGTGTGTGTATTCAGCCCAGTGTTTTTGCTCTCAAAATGTATTTCAATCGATGAGTTAAATGCAGGAAAAATAGGGTAGAGTGATGTTTGCAAAACAACTACTGTATTACACAGTATGTTATAATGAAGTTGATTGAACAGCATTACATTTGAGGAAGACAAGGAAGATCCCGGAGGACGGCCTTTGATTTGGATTTGACAGATTGTAATTTTCTCATAGTTGAAGCGTACAAACTCTCTGGAACCCAGGAGTCATCAGTAAAAATAGAAAAGAACAGGGTAGGACTCCTAAAAGCTCACTCAGACAAAGACACTCAGCATGAGAGGTGATGAACACAGTTTGTGTGATCCTGAAGCTCCATATAATAGTCTGGCCAGTCTTGTCCCTTTGCTCTGATGGAAAAGAAATGCTTACATTCACTCAAATTAAATCCAATTTTTCAGGTACGCCAATTTTTTATTTTGTGGTGCTACTTCATAACGATGTAGTACAAGGCTAATATTTAACATTGTACGTATTTATTTGAAAGCTGTGTGTTCTACCAATCACTAAGCTTTTCAAAGACTTCTCCCACGCCCGTTCCCTCCTCCTCTTCCTCCTCCTGCTCTCAGCTTCTACCGTTCTTTCTCTTCTTGTCTAAGGTCTTGTCAGGTGCTGCTCATATTAAAAAAACTAAATGTAAGTAAATGAGAGGCTTCTCTCTTAAGCCTCTTACACGGAGCTGTTTGTGGGGCTCAGCCCTTCAAAGCACTGAAGACAGCTCTGAGATCAGGAGCACTCAGCACGAGGAAAGGCCATTTCACTCACGTAGTCAGATCGCCGCGCTCTCAGGAGACACACTCGCACAGAGAAAAGACACCAGCAGAGCACAAACACACAAAACCACAGATGCATGCGTGTTTCTTTTTGAACCATAATGCAGGTTGAACTATGGCCGACGGGCCGAAGTAAGTGAATATGGCTTAAGCATGTTTCTCATAAATAACACTGTTTTGCAAAACCTTATTCAGTTAGTCAGCACTAAAATGTGGTCATTTCTGCAGTATGTTTTTGTTCCATCTTAATAAGAGATTTACAACTGGATTTCAATTTCAATGCAGTCTTTTAATTTAGGTCTTAAACAGAAGCAGATCTTAGTATTTGTGTAGTCATTTTGACACAAACTGAGTCTTCTATTGCACGTGGGGGCTTTGGTTCTGTAGAAGAGGATTTATCTGCAGCGTTGCTGGTTGAAGACTATTCATTCACCTTTGTGGGGCTTGTGACTCATTTTTTCTATATATGATTCAAAACGAAAACGAGTTTGGCCTCTCTGGTGAATCGCGTGTGGACTGTTTGCCTGTCAAGCTGAGAATTCTGCTGGATTCCCACAGGCAGCTGGTTGGTAAAATAGAAGCCGTGGGGCTTTTGAAGAGAGTCTTGGTACGGAGACAGAATAGGTTCCGCAGTTATTGATCACTCGGCAGAGAGAAGGAGAGACATCAGCAGCAGTTAGGATCAATAGTCTGTGAGCTGCAAGTCTTAAAATGTAGAAGCAAGACTGGAGGAGGCGAGAGTGAAAGCACAGTAACTACTGCACCTCTTTCTTTTTAGGAATGTTTTAATACAAACGTTTCTTATCCAGATATCAGCCTTTAAAATAGAAAAAGTTGGAAGATTTTATCTTGTACAAAGGCTATAAAACTTCAAATCTAAAATATATTCCCCTGCTAAGCAACACAAGCATTAAAGTAAAAAAAAAATCTCCTTCTTTCACGTAGTCATGGAACTAATTAGGCTGCTACAAATAGTTTACCATCATATTTTTGGAGCTTCAGCAGGCAGTAAAATATGGATGATCGGATATAGAATTGAGGGGAACTAACACGTTCTGTCGTTTCAGGCTTTCCCAGGAAACAGTAATGCAGATTCTGTGGTCAAGTACAAGCTTAAGCAGCCGGTAATTGCTCGCTACCTCCGGCTTATTCCTCTGGACTGGAACCCCTCTGGGAGGATTGGACTGAGACTGGAGATATATGGATGTCGTTATAGTAAGTCCCATTTCCCTAACTTGAGTTCTCGTTAGTTTTGGCTTGTACCCTTAAAAAAAAAGGGTTCTGGGATCTTTACTCAAAAGCGGACATAAGTGATGTATCTATAGGTTATAGTATTTTTAGTTGGAATAAGTTTCAAAAATATATAGTAATACTAGTAAAAAATATAAATCTTAATTTTCTAACATTTAAGGTGATGCATGTAAGACAATAAGAAATCATTCTGAGGCGTTTGTTTCTATACTACACAAACACGAACAATTGAGCCTGCGGTTTCCTTCATGCCGCATTAGTTCATTGTTTTTACATTCCATTACATGTCATTTAGCTGACGCGTTTGTCCAAAGCGACTTACAATAAGTGCATTCAACCATAGGGATACAAACTCAATCGAACAAGAAACAACAAAGTGCAATTTTATTAAATAAGCCATCAGCCGTCGGGATGTCGGGTTTGACCATGTCCTGGATGTAAGCTGGACCCGATCCATTCACAGCATGGTACGTGAGCACCAATGTTTTGAACTGGATGCGGGCGGCCACCGGTACCCAGTGAAGAGAGCGGAGGAGTGGAATAGTGTGGGAGAATTTAGGAAGGTTAAAGACCAGTCGAGCTGCTGCATTCTGGATGAGCTGCAGAGGTGGAATGGCGGTAGCAGGGAGATCTGCCAGGAGGGAGTTACATGTTTAATGGCACAAAGAAAGTCTCAAGTTATGGCAAAGGTGCATATGACCAAAAAGTTAAGAAACCAGATAATTTAACAAATTAACAGCGGAAATGGTCGACGGCGTGTTTCATTCTTCAGCCACGGAAGGTGTAACCTTTTATGTCTTTAATTGGAGTTTTCAGCTTTAAGGAAAACACTGATAATCTGGGAACGCATTTTTTCACTCTCACAGAATGAAATGAATTATTTTTTGACACCAGTAAATATTTTTGTATTTAGTAGCAGACACTAGACCAGATGGTGTTTGAAGCCTTTGCACATTAAGGGTCAGAGCCTTTATAGCTCCGTGGAAATCAATACTGTAAAACAATACAATAAGCTGGCTTGTCTTGAAGTTACAACAGCGCCACATTTTTCCAACAATGAAAAAAAGATTCCCAAGATGACTTTTATCATATATACGCTACAACTCTTCATGCTAAATGGTTGTACAATGAGCAAACTGCCCCCAACTCGCTTGTATTACTCTATTAACAATGTTATTGAAGAGTTTGCATAATGCCCTTTATCATTCTGCAGCTTCTGATGTGGCCAACTTTGATGGCAGCAGCAGCCTGGTCTACAGGCGGAGTGCGCGCCCGAGCTGGAAGGCGATGGAGGTCGTCTCTCTGAAGTTTAAGACCCACAAGAATTCAGGGACGCTGCTCCATGCAGAGGGCAAAAGAGATGACAGCCTGACGCTGGTGTTGGAGAAGGGACGGCTGCTGCTCTACCACCAACAAGGTATCAAAGTTATTCTTTCTATGTACTACATACATTCACATATAAGTTGGGTGTGAATAATGAACTATTCTCAAATTCAGAATATAACAAATGAGATAATATTAAAATGTACAGTAATTAAATGAGTACATGACTGAAACCAACAACTGATGTACTTAATATATTTGTACATGAACCTTTACTTATCTTTGTTTGTCGCAACTGTGGATCACAAAGTCGATGCTGTTCCTTTTTTGGTAGATCAATGCACCGCGTTTGTTTGATTCCACATAGATTTTATGTCTTTGGTGAAAGGTTGATGAAACTTTGGATATTGAAATTGAAGTGAAGTGTTTTTCAAACTTTAATGTTTTTTTTTTCCTCCAAGCACGGTTAGCTAAACCGCTAAACCACCCTGTGTTTGTATTTTTTCACTCTCTCCAAAGCATCCAGCACCCTGTCTCTATATTTGGAACTTATTTACACATTTCTGTCCCAACAATGAATTAAAGGGAGCTTCATGTTGGTTTCCGTCCATCTGCTGGATTGCTTGTGTGTTTGTCAGATGTGATTTCTAAGATATTGCTGATCCAATTTGGAGGAAACTGGGGTATTGCGCTTTTCTCTGCTTATGCTAATTAACTCAGCACAGTGTTTACTTTTTAATCCACATGTCGCAAGCAATATCCAATAAACCTAGTGAATTGGTGCTGTACACCATTGCAGTCGCGTTGTTGCAGGTCAATGAATGTAGAGGCTGCCCCATGTCTCAAGTCGAAGTGTCCCTGAGCAAGACACCTAACCCCTAATTGCTCCCCGGGCAAAATGTAAAAAAAGCCATGGGTTTAAAGTGTAATGTAAGTTGCTTTGGAGAAAAGCGTCTTCTAAATGACCTGTAATGTAATGTAATGTAATAATGTAGAGGAGAACATCTTTTATGGGGTTAAACATGTTTGGTCTTGTTTTTCTCCCCCAGACTTTCCCCAATCTCACTCCGTCTCTCTTCCTCACTACAACTGTACAAGTCGGTGTACTTTTTAACCAGATTATGTATTAAGAGGGATTGCAGTTAAACTGCAGATTTTCCAATTTCAAAGCTTGCAAGAACGAGGAAAGTCGTACTCAACCTTTTTCCTTCACCACTTTCTCCCCCCTCTGCAGGGTGTCGGATTTCAACACACTGTAGCTTGTAAGACAGCATTTTAGCATCTGTTAAAACTTAAAGCAGTCTTTGCAATGACATATAATTCTTACTCATCTGACCGCTGCCCTTCATGCCCTGCCTATTCATGGTGTAGCTTCTCAAACAGCCACACACAATAGCTAATTTATCGCTGCATATCGTAGCATTAGTTGTCAGTCTTACATTCCTGACTGAGGCCTGTCACATCTGCCTACTTGAGGTGATAATCAAAAAACTGCTCTGACAACTCGGCATAGCTATCAACTCATCCAAACAGTGTCTGCTTTTGTGGAATGGTAGAGAATATATTGGGCTATGAAAAATCCAGTGGCTATAACTGTATCCAGTTCCCCTGCTTGGCCAGCAGCCCCGTTTATTTTTCAGCGTTTTCTATGTTCTACGTTCCTCAAGTTCTGCCCCTGTCACATTTGTTTCAGAGGTGATTATTTGCTTGTTTAATTGCTCTTTGTCTTTCTCCCCTCTCTCTTTTACACATCCCCTCCCTCCCTCAAACTCTCCCTGGAGTTTACCGACTGCAGACGGTCTAGTTTAGATCAACTGTTTGGAGCGTCCACCGCGGGCCGCAGCACGGCTCCTCCACAGTTGGCTCTCGGCTCAATGGAAGGGAGGAAAGCTTAAACCCGGGTAGCAAAGTTAAAGCCTGAAGTCGTAATGCATTATATCCATAGCTCCGGTCTGGGCTATTCTCTGAGGCTCTTCATACTTTATCTCTCCCATTGGCAGCCTGATCATGTGGGTCTTGGGGCCCTTTCTTTGTGAAGCGCCATGAGTTTTCCCAAGCTGTCAAAGACACGGAAAAGCTAATGATGCTTCACATTGAGCATCAGTGACGTATGTAGCTTATAAACACACACATTAGTGGTTTGGCTAGAGCAGATGTGTAATCAGCCAAAATTGATGATGATCAAAACAGATCAGACGGACACACAGAAGTGAAGTAAGCATAAATACAACAGTGAGATAGTATTGTCCTCTCTATCTGCATGAGGCTGTCTGTGCAGTTTGGAATGAATTTGTTGACTCGTTAGAATTTTAATGTTGGCAAGCCACAAGCATTTCATATCCTCTCAGCTTCACATTCATCAAAATGTCTGTTTGCTCTAATGTAGCAAACTGCTCCATAATTCAGTTCACTTCTGAACTGTCGAAGGGAAGCTACACTAAATACTAGCTATAGTAAATACACTAAGGGCTGATGTGTCCCGCTATAATGCATTCTGGACAGGTGGCGTTAAGTACTGCGGACTAAATTAGGACGGCATAGGAAATCGGGCCGAGTTGCATGTTAAGCAAAATTGTGTCTTTTCTCTGAATCAGGAAGGGCTGTGTTTGCTTTCTGGATGCTGGCTGTGTTATGTTGCAAAAACCCTGAATAATCAGATTTTACAGTTGTGAAACCTCATCATAATCACATATAATTTCACTAAAAGCTTTAGATGAATCTCTACATACAGACTGGGCCAGTTGAGAAAATAAAAGGAAATGAAGAGTGGTGATTAGAGCTTATTCAACACTGCTTTTTTCACAGTGAGTTTCTGTTGTTAACAGCCGCATACAAGTTTCAGTAAGCAGCCTGAAATTGCTAAAATAGCTCTGGGACTAATGTAAAAAACTCTCCTGCTGTATAAGAGGTTGCTTACTGTTGATTTATTCTGTGTGCAGCAGCAATGTTTCTCAAAATAAAGATAAGCTACAAGTCTAGTCAGGGGAACGTAATTGATTTTCCTTTGACATTTTATTTTTGAAGAGAAACATTGTGGGACATGATTGCTTTTATTCTTGATATTAAAGCGCTGACAGACAGTGGTATCGGGTGACATGCAACAAAGGTCCATGGTCTGACTCAAACCAGGAAGCACTGGATTGCATCGTCAGCGTTTCACTGTCACCAGGATGTAAGTCAACACATTCTACAGGACTGCATTTATAAGCTTATCGAAACGGCACAGGAGTGGCTGCGGAATTCACAAAATACAAAACAAACAGACATGAAAACCAGAAACCATTGTGCAGTAGTAAATTGGTTTGATCTCATCTAGAGACTAATACCATTTTGTGAATGCATCTTCACAAACCTTGAGAAGGGTTAATTGGACTGTCTGATAAGTTTTAAAAAATCAGTTGTTTTATTCCAGTTTGTTTTTTAGTAATTATTAAGCCTTCAATTTTAAATATATATGCTTTGGCTACTTGCGTGCCAACAGAGCCTATAGGAACTGAACTGAATAGAAAGAGACCTGAACTCCAAACTGACATTCCTTCCATGTGTGTAACTGTTTCGTCTTCATTCCCCCCCACTTTGTTTTCATTCGTTCAGAGAAAGTAAATCATTTTTATAGTTTTGCTGTATTCTCCATGTGACTCTGGAACGCTGAAACAATGATGACAGTCAGTGGTAATAAGACCTGTCATTGCCGTCCTTCATAAACAGATTTAGAGCTTCTTGGTGGAGTAGCAGACAGAATAGGATATGTTTGTACTGCCTCAGGGAGCCTTCTGGAACATTAGACTCTGGTAAGTGCAAAGCATGGTTTAGTGTAGATTTCATAGCTTAAAGACATCACTCAACGTGGATGCATGAAGCAGTTGTCCTCACACGCATGGAGGTGATGAAAGGAAGACTTGAAGGGAGAGGGGAGTTTTATGAATGAAAGAGTTTCTGTAATTGTTTTACCTCAGACACCTCGTCGACCGCCACACACGTCGCCTCATCGAATGGCATTGAAGGAATAGAACCAGGTTTATCTTAGCTTAGCAACACTGGAAAATAGAAAATAGGCATCGCTCCATCTAATGTTTCCTGCTGCCTTACAAACGTGTGGCAACTAAACAACACTCATTATTTGAGAAAATGTAAAACTAGCTTAATCAAGTAATGTAAGGCCATCCATTATCTTATTAGCGATCAGACAAAGTTGTCTGTGATGACGTAGTTTGAAATCATAGACGGGAGGTTTGTCATCTGAAAAAAGGGGACTTTAATCAAGACACTGGCGTTCGAGAGCATATTTTTATTTGAAAGTGTTGTTAAATGTGTTTTTTATGTTGTGTTACTTACTTCTATTCAATCCCTTCAACGCTGTTTTTCTTAAACCTAATTTAGTGGTTTGTGTTAAACCCTAGAAAGTATGTTTTGCAACATTGTCAAACGTCACAGTTTGACGATAACGTATTTCTCCGAAAATAAATTCTGGCTGCCATGAGCATTAAAATCACTACCAGCTGTCACGACAAGGTATCTACATCATCGGTGCACGGAAGTAAGAATGGCATCAAACCGGGATATCAATCTATCTGTCGCTCCATCCCCTTCAAAGAACATGTCCCTCATAATTAATGACTTTCTGTGTGCTGCTCCTTCTGTTGTAGCTCCTTCTGTCAGCAGAAACTCTTTTCTCTCTGAAATGTTAGGCGATGGAGAGATGGATCCACCAATTTCGACCTGCTGGTATTGAGTCCGTCATTAATTATTGTCTGTCATTTTGCAGCCTCATCAGGTTCCGCGCTTCTTCCTCCTCCCTGCCGGCATGCAGGCATGCGTGCTCTCTAATGAGAGAGGACGACCTCAGTGACCAACTCCTTGTTTCAAAAGAAAATATGTATATATATATATATATATATATATATATATATATATATACTGTATAAATCTACTGAAGCTGCAATGTTTGCACAACTTTTGCAAAAAAATTCTGACTCACACCTTTGGATTTTCATAAATTCAAAAGAAAAAGCGTGCTCGTACACATCACTAGCTGTGTTTTCTAGGATAGTAGACCTCAAGAATAATATGACATTTTCTCAGCAGGAATTGTACATCCGAGGATTTCTGCATCGCTCAGCCAACACCAAGACACCATCGATTGTTTTTCACATCCTCAACCTCCTTGCAGGTGTGAGTTCGTCCTCCAGCGGGCAGCTTCTTCTTGCTGTGGGAAGCTTGCTGGACGACCAGCACTGGCACCATGTAAAGCTGCAGAGGCTCAGCACTCACCTCAACCTCACGGTGGATAAAAACACTCGTCAGGTTCACACACCAGCGGAGCTCATTCACTGGGACATTAACCAGGTGAGAGAAACTTCAGCACAAGTGGTATGTCTTGTGCGTACCAAATACAAGCACACTGGGAAAGTTGCAAAAAGGTTTTCAGTTTTGTCCATTATGGATTGTGGAAGTTTTAATCAGCTTTTTTGCAACACTTAGCCTACTAGAGCACATTAGTCCTATGATTAACTACTAAATGAAGGATCATTTGAATCCTCCAGGGGCTGATGGTTATTAGTTTTTATTTTCTTGTGCAGCTGAGTCTCGGAGCTGTCCAGAGCCACGGACTGCAGAAACCCATCTTGTCAAACAAGAATTTCCATGGCTGCATGGAGAACCTGCTCTACAATGACCTCAACCTGATACACCTGGCTAAACGGAACAACCACCAGGCCTCTGTGGTGGTAAGTCAATGTGTTGCTGTTTCTTTGGAACAGTCTTATAGCATTCGCCCATAGAACGCATAGGTGACCGTAGACGGGCAATTACCGCGCCAGATATGTGCATAAACATGTCTTGACTTTTAGCGCTCTTGTTAGTCTTAAAGGTTGCACCTCTTTGATTGATAGGGATATTACTGGAAAAGTCAAGCAGAATTCTGTGCTTATAAAACATATCGTACAATACAATATTTTTATTTTTTTATTACTTGTGCCTTTTCTGCATAAACGTCATTATTATGCACAATGATTGTTGTGGTTAGCATTATTTTCATTAGCCATGTAATCTTCATTTTTACACCAACGTCATCATTTCCTTCATTATCAACATAAAGTAATAAAGCCCAAAGCAAACAAACTTCAGAAGAAAAGTAGAATTAGTCATATAATCAGGGGAAAGAGGTACATGATGAAGTCGAAGTTATTGGAGAAGCAAACAGGAATAAATTAAGAAACTGTCCCTTTCTGATATATGGTAGGCCTATAGTAGACATTACAGACATTTTTGTTTAAGATGAGTTTATACTAATACCAAAGACGGGGCAATTTGTGACCCACATTTTGCTGTATGAAGCTTTCCTAAAATACAGTAAGTGGGTCCAAATCCTGAGTGGCCGTGATGCCTGCGGTTTTCTAGCTTAATTCACCTGCCCGGCTAATATCATGGTAATAAAAATGACCATTTTCATTCCTTTTTTTCACACCCCGTGACATAGAGTCAAACCCAGTCAGCCTCTTTAACTGTGGAATATTAATGGTTTCATATGACTTACATAATCATTTCCTCCTCTCCTCAGGGCAATGTGACCTTTTCTTGTGCTGAACAAGTTTCAGTTGCTGTGACGTTCACTCACTCCCAGAGCTTCCTGCAGTTGCCAGGACTGACATCTTGGTCATCAGGTGTTGTCTCTATGGCGCTGCAGTTTCGCACGTGGAACAAGGCTGGGCTTCTCTTGACCTTTAACCTCTTGCAGAAGGGGGGCACAGTCTGGCTGTACCTGAGTGAGGGCAGACTCCGCCTACAGATTAATAAGGCTGGCAGGGCCGAGCTTGAGTTGAGCGCCGGTTGGTCCAAGCAGGACTTTGCCGAGTTACACCTACAGAGAGGTACGTTACGCATGTCATTCAGTTTTCGTAGATCAAAAGAGGAAGTGTACTTTCACGTGATGAAACTCACCCAAATTATTTTGTTGTATAAAAAGGTTCAGGTCTGAATGACGGTCAGTGGCATTATGTGGAGCTGAACTCCAGACATGATCATCTGAGCATCACAGTGGACACAGACGAAGGAGCCACAGCTCACACCAGCATCCCCCTCCTCCTCACCACAGACAGCCAACTCTTCTTTGGTGGTAAGACATGAAATATACAGTATACATTGTTTGACAAAGGAAATGCAATAAATTTGACTGAATGAAGTGATGTTGTGAACTAAAACCTGCACCTGGTTCTTGTTGGTGGAAGAGGGGTAATGTGAGTCATTATCAGTGCCATGAGGAAAACTGCGTCTTTTGATCTCCTAAAATTTAAAGGGAGAAAAACACTGAGTCATCGTTCCTCCATCTTTTCCTTTTCCTTTTCCTTTATAATTAGAGCAAAGTTTACCCTGTAGCAGGAATGCTGTGTTTGTACTCAGTCGGCCTCCATCCAGGATCAACCTCAAACACCAATCATGAGCTCGTTCATGTCCTTTGGCCAATTTATGTGATAGATTCAGGTTTAAAGTTCAGGTTTGCTTACAGAAGTATTTATATGATGGGAAAAAAGAATAAAAAATCCTTCTCATCATATATACAGATCACGAGGTAGAGAACAAAACCTCTGTGAACTTGAAATAATAATATTATTAATTATTTATTATTATTAATAATAATAATAAGTTACATGGGCACATTGAATCGGAAGATACAACAAAGTCCAGTTTTTGTTCTGGAGAGGAACCAAATAGAAGTTAAATGCAGTGGTGAAAGATGTGCAAATACAATAATGTTGAGAAGTACTTTATCATAAGAAAAGTCGTTTTTTAAGTCAGACGAAGGAACTTTAAAAACAAACTTAAAACTGTCGGTTTGATACAATAATGTTTTCAAGTAAAATTGATTTAATGTCAGGTGGAAGAAAACGGCTTACAAACTAAAACAAAGGGCCAACCGCTGATTGAGTGTCTTGTGTTTCCCTCACTAGGATGTCCTGCTCAGGAGGGCAGTCCGCAGTGCAAGAACCCCTTCAAAGTGTTTCAAGGCTGCATGCGCCTCTTAACTGTGGATAACCAACCCGTGGACCTGATCAAAGTGCAGCAAAGGCTGCTGGGAAAATACAGCCACTTGCAGATTGATATGTGTGGCATCACCGACAGGTTGGTCCCACCGTCTGAAATGTAGTCTTTTTTTAATGCTGTCCACATGTTTGTTGGGCTGATCGTAAGATGTTCCACTGGTTTTCAATGTGAATTTGGGTTTTGTGAAAATAGTGATGAGGATAATTACTCACTTCACCTCAAGTGTATTACTTGCTGTCCTCTTTAAATAATTTGAGACTGCAAGAATAGATTAAAAAGGGGAAAGAAGACGTTCTCAAGTTGCTTTTATTGACAACACAAAAAACATTAAACGTGAAATAATTGAAACTAAAAATAATGTGGAAATTTTAAGTCTGTGACTCACGGCAAGGGAATAATGTTTAAAATGTTTACATACAGCCAACAATAAAGAGCAGCTTCAGGACGTTGGAGACGCTGCAGCAACCCATTCATCTAATATAGATGTGTTTAAATAAGCTGTACAATGGCTGTATTTTCCTTTTCTGACAGTTCTTAACAATTTTTATGTGTATTCAGATGGATGCATGGATAGATATAAAAATATAGTTTTACTAAAAAAAGAACTGAGTCAATAAAAGTTGAACGCAAACTATTGCTTTTGATGTCTGCCATCTTACATCATAATTAAAGGAATGCGCGTGTTGAACCATCTGACTGCCGGAGGTGCAGGAGTATATTTCTTAGGATCCACACCCTTCTTTGCACACAAACATATGCTAATTTACGACTCTGAACCGTCTCTCCGGGGTCGCTGAAAGACTTGTTTGGAACATGGGATGAAAAGGATCATGTTGAAAAATCCCTCCCTGAGGCAAAAGAGGAATGAGGGATTTGAAAGGGAGGACCAGCAGCAATTTATTTTTACTTAACATTCTTGGCCACTTTGTGCATCATCTACACATTACCTGCATTAATGAGAGACTCAACTTTGTCTAATAGTCTTTTAGTCAGCGTGAGGCTGCCATGCCAAACTTATTGATCAAGCTAGACGTGCTGCGAGTTCGGGAGAAGTGCTCACTGCTTTGGACGTTCTCTCCCCGTTGCCATTCATGGAGTTGCACTTTAACTCCACAAAGCAACACCAATTGTGTAAAGAATTTTTTAAAAACGGTTGGACACATCTCCAAAATGTGAGGAATGGGAAGTTTAGATGGAGGGTTATTCAGACATTGCTTTAAACAATGAGTGACACCTTTAGGACGTACCTGAGCGCTCCCTCCTGCCCGCCTCTCTCCTCACTGTGTGAGGATGCGTTTTGAAGCCAGATCGATGAAGCTGTCAGAAGGAAATAGTTCTGACCGCCTCGCTTCACTCAGGTTGCTGACAACTTAATAACACAGCTTGTGAAAACACACACACACACAAAAAGAAACAGCGCTCATTTAAAGGTCCAGTCTTCTTGTTTTGTTTAACTGTGTGTCTGTCAGCCGGTGACTTTATTACTTTATCTCTGTAGCTCAGTGTGAGCAGAGACCAGCACGCACGCACACATCGTACCCTTTGCACTCCTGTGTCATTCCTAAATGATCACCTGTCTGTGTGTTCATGTGTTTGTGTGTGCGCTTGAGTGCGTCTGTGTGTGCAGATGTGGCTGCTTATCCCACAAACAGACCTCTCTCTCTCTTTTTCTGTCTGGCTCTCCCTCAGTGTTCAGCAGATTTGTGTTCACAGCAGAGTTGTGTACCCCTGAATACAAATGGTTCTAGCCAAGAAAAGTTTCATTTTCCAAAGTATACCAATTGCAGTTGGACAAAGTGGATGTTAATGAAGTGAATGGTGGATGCATCCACAGACATTGTGTGTCGCCTGCTCTTACATGGAGATACGGTATTTTCTCTGGGCATCCATGCTGGTGCCTGCAGGGTAGAAAACGTGGCCAGATGGTGAAATGTGTTACTCATTTCAGTGGCTTGGCCTCCATTATTTCACAAAAGAAATTATATTTAATAGTTTAATTTAAAATGTTGATGACAATCTTAAAGTGAGAGTGATTGTTGAAAATACGTAATGCCTTTTACCCGGTTTTATACGTAAGAGCATGAATTGTTTTTACAGCGAGTGGAGAGGTGCGTGAGAAATTAGGAGAACGATCCTTTGGCATTTCGGGAAATACAACCGTATATTTTCTTCTGAAAACAAATCAATAAATAATTAACTATTGTGTTTAGAGCTGGCCTTGAATCAACCGTTGTAACAACCAACCTACACATAAACATGGATGGAAACCATAAAACATTCAGTTTTGCACAGGACGTGGCAGAAATAAATTGATTGGATGAAACACAGTGATTGCACTGCTCGTTTATCCAAATTGCAGTAAGAAAGCAATGAGTCCTCTTCGGTCCACTGTCATGCTTCCAACCAGCATATTAGGGTCTTTTAGGGACCTGACCTCACAGTTGAGATCATTAAGCCTTCCTGGTTCTGCTGAGGTCAGGATGCTCATGTGGGTAAATGATGGAGAAACCTGGAGGGTGCTGGTTTGGAGGGACAGGGACAGCATTCTTAACCCGGGTTTGATGGACCTTTGTGCTCGTCATGGATCGGCCATAACGAGCGGCCATGATGGGTTTTGGTAACAGAATCCCGAGAGACCATAGATTAATAATAAACATTGCATCATCGCATCAGCAGCAACTCCCTTCAGCACCGGAGACTCCAAAGGAGAACAATCCACAACTAACTACTGCATCATTACCCCCTTTAATAATATACTGGATGAGGTCTATTCGACAAGGGCTATTTTTCCCTTTGTGCACTATGTGATGAATTACTGTTCACTCTAAATGAGAAACCTCCTTATTGGAATTAGCGTATTACTACTTAACTAGAGTTAATTAAATTGCACTTGGAACTGTTTTGCAGCTGACTTCTTAATGTTATAAGCCCTCAACGCCAAATTACCCGCCCTCACCTTTAATGACACAAGTTCAAAGCCGTTGAGAAGAAAATCCTGTCTACACAGCACCTAGTCGGTAGATGGGAAACTAAAATGGTTCCATGTCTTGAAAAAAGTTTTACTTTTGGAGAACATGAATAACAAAAGGTTTCTTCTTTTTTTGGAGACGGTGCTGGGTGTTGTGCTGGCTGGTGCAATGCTAGTGAGCAATGTATGCGTTCTCTCAGAACATGCAGCCGCGCTCCGCTTGACATGGAGACGAAAAGAAACGTGTGAAGTTTCAATTTAAAGGCTCGAAAACATTTTTCCAACTTTATTCAGCTCCCTCCCACGCACCTGCTCCTGAGAACAGACAGCTGCGCTGAATGCTTTTTGTTCCTTTTCGTACCAAAATCCTTGCGAAAGTGTGTTTTAAAACATGAAAATGATGAGTGTCTGTGCCTCTGTCTGTCTCTCAGGTGCTCCCCCAGTCGCTGTGAACATGGCGGCCGATGCACTCAGTCGTGGAGCACCTTCCACTGTAATTGCTCCAACGGGGGCTACAGAGGAGCCACCTGCCACAGCTGTAAGCACCCAGCAACACGGCATGCGCAGGTCTATCAAATGCTTGGTGCCCAAAATATAGCAATGACAACAGAAGGTATTAATGTGTGGAAATGAGCTAAGTAATTTTGAATGACGTTATTGTTCGTCATCATTATGTTCTACTTCATGTTTTAAAGAACTTTTATCACCTTAGAAGTTATTATGATAGACGTGTTTGCAAGCAGTTGCCGATTTTTCTATTCAGCGGATGTAGTGACTGAATAAATTAAGGCTGAGGTTTGATTTAAGACCTTTGTTTGGCCACCAACATGGTGGGAGGAAGTCCAATATTCACTCCCCTGTGACTCTGTATTTAGTCTCCTTAGGGAATATATCACGCTTTATTTGCTAAATCCAGTTAGACGTTAACTTTGGTTCGTCAGGGTTTTTGTCCATTTAAATTGAAGATATCAAAACCCAAATAATAAGCTGAGAGACGTTAAAATGCTTCACAAAGGACCTGCAGAGTCTGGTGATGATTCTCTACAGGTTTATCCCTTACGGCCATTTATCCCTTATGGCAGTTTGTGGGTTTAAGATTGTTGTACCTTAATTAATCGTTAATAATAAGTAAAAACGAAATACAACATTGAGAAATTAAGTATTCTCATCACCTTTCTCTCTATTGACTCTGTATTATTTTATGCATTTAGATTAACAAAATTTAAATGAAGACGTTGATTAATAGAGAATAGGATTAATACAGAATTCCAGAAATATGGTCATCGCGTCTGCTTTAATAATATTGAGACCACGTCTCCCCAAACATTTCATTTACTTTTGTTTATTCACCGCTCCATTGTTTCAGAACTTGAATTAGCTGTGTTCAATTGGGAATAGTCTAAACAGATTGTTGGTACTTTATTATCCAGAGTAAATTAGATTTTCATTTAATTTGAAAGTCTTAAAAGCGTGGCTTCCTGACACCTGCAGATGGCACACTGTGTACACGTGTGTGTCTGTTTGTGTGATAAATGTATGTATGTGTGCGCGACTGTAGCCCAGTCTAAAGGGATGAGGCAGAAGTTCAACAGCCGTCCTTCAAACTGTTTCATTTAGTCACAGACAAAGAACCACTTTCCTTTTAAAATCAAGCTATTTCCATATTTGGGAGAATAACTAACTGATAAAAAACATGGAAGGAATCACTCATGTTCTCAAACATTCTCAAAACTTTTTTTTGCAAACAAAAGAGGCCAAGTTCATTAAAGATGAAAACAAAGGATTTTTCTTAAACTGTCAGTTTGTGCCAATATTTTTCTCCTAAACTAAAACAAGATAGATTGTTGAATACACTTAAACAAGGCTGTGTAGCACTGGAATCCCCATGCAGATGAAAGTGCAAATTCCTGCCTTTTATATTTAGAACATCACACATCGAGGACTGAATCGGAGAAAAACGGGTAAACGTCTTGCTACTTGTTGAGTATTTTGATTTTAGAAGTATGATGTGAAGAGTTCATTAATATTTTCGAACAGTTACAGATCAACATAGATCTTAAACAACAATAATCACACACATGCGGAGAGAAAAGAATCAATGTAAACCGGCACAGTGCTGAAGCTTTCCTCCGCTTAAACGTGAACTTTCATTTTTCTATGCAAATCTAATATTAAACCCTTAATTCTGGAGAAAGAACCCCAGGCTTATCTATTGAAGGTTTCTTTGAGATAGATTTTTTAAAGTGTGGGTTGAAACTATTTCCACACCATTTTATATTTTGTCTCGAAAGAAATGATACTGTAACACTTTCTTTTGTTCAAACGAGTTCTAAATGTTCCTGTCGAAACACTTGAACGAGAATGAAAGACTTATTATATTCTCAGAACAAACTGCAACATCATTTAACTCTCTCTCTGGGGATTTGGAAATGCAAAAGAGAGAAGCTAAAACATTAAGTGTGCCGTCTTACAGAAGGAAAGCTGAGGAGAATGAGGATGGGAGCAAGTGGGAGATGTAGAGCCAGATGTCAGAAAAGCAGAGTGAGTCCTGAGGCACAGTCTTCCTTCTACATAAATGGATTTCAACATAGAAACTGCAAACAGTATTTGAGGTGAATCAAATTAGGAATGGAGGAGATTCAGGCTTTGATTGCATTGCCACACTTTGATTGAATCTTTTTATAAGCTTGTGACTGGATCTCGCACACACACACACAGACAGACACACACACACGCACTTTATTTGGGTCAAAACCTTTCTCGAGCTTTATCAGAGAACTGCTTCTGAAAGTTTTACTGACATTAAAAAAAGAAATACATGCATGTGAACAATGTTTACTGTTCATGGATTAATTCTGATGACCTTTTTACCTGCGTTGCACGTGTGCAAACCTTTATTTGTATTTTAACATAGTCTGATACGCAAGAAGCAGAGTTCCTCATATTAATGTAAATTAATTAATGACAATTAAACAGAATATGTTGAAAGCTAAATGGTCTTATTTTTTTATTGACTTTGACACATATGAAGCATAAAGTGTTTGACCGGCTGAGCACTGAAGTCCCACTCAGCTGTCACAATATCGTTTAACTCATAGCTTTTCACTATTATATAGATATACTAGTATATTTGCTGACTCTCTGAGGCCGACATTGATGTTGCTACTCCTCCTCTACGACCCTTCCGTATGTCATTGTGCTCTAGTGTAGTTTTCCAAGCAGACTCCTTATTGCTGCTTGGATTCTTTTCAGAGCTCCCTTAAGTTTCTAACTTCATAACTATTTGAAAGTCTCTGACAATAACACTGCAGGCAATGCAGATGTAAGGGAAGTAGTCCTGATCTTTGCTTGTAGGAGTTGGCAAGGGCAACTTTTTCTCACAAATCTGAAAACCAGCAGATGTACTATTGTTGATTATTATTGGTTTTTATTTTTCACAGCAAAATATGAAAAGTCGTGTGAGGTGTACAAACACAAAGGCAACACATCAGGATATTATCACATCGACGTGGACGGCAGCGGACCGATCAAACCCCAGCTTATCTACTGTAACATGACAGGTAACACGCAAAGACACCTGCACATGTGACGCAACGTACAATATTAGTACAGATGTTTATGTCTCTCTGTCCGTCTGTCTCCTGTTCACCAGAGGACGTGTCATGGATGGTGATCCGGCACAATAACACAGAACTGACAAGAGTCCATTCGTCCCCTGACAGACACGGACATTTAGCCCACTTTGACTACGCTTCTGAGGAGGAGCAGTTAGCAGCAGTCATCAGCCAATCGGAGCGCTGTGAGCAGGAACTGTCCTACCTGTGCAGGAAGTCCCGAATCCTCAACACACCAGGTAAGACTTTCACACACTGACCTTTTCTGAGCCCGAAATATTGAGATTTTGGAGGTCTGTGAGATGTGAAGGTTTTGTTAATATTGTTAGTCTTTTTTTTGTTGCATTTTGTGAGTTTGAGTGTATTAAAGATGGACGAGGGTGGCAATTGAGTGATGTTGTTAAAATGCATCTGAAGAATCTATATTTGGGTCAAGAACGAGGTGGCTCGAATTGCTGATTTAGTTCATTTAGAACCTGATTTAAACATCAATTAAATGTCTCTTCTTCACAGCTAAAGGTTTATCTGAGACACAACTTGATTTCTCATCCACTGCTATTGTTTCTGGTTTCTTTTTCTTATTCTCTCTTTTGAAGACAGAGGAATCTAAATAAATAATCTGAATGAGCCTTCTTACTTTTACGGATGATTTAGAGGAAATTGGAAGTCTGACCAATTTTAGTGCGGAAAACTGCAGAGATGCACGGTCGATACAGGAGTGTAACACAAATGTACTGGTTTGTGTTGAGATCCTAAATGAATAGTGTTGTTGCTGGTGCCAGCAAGATGCAAGCAAACAAATAGGTAGGCAAAGGCAAAGGAAATTGAAAGGAAATAGTTCTATGTCTCATTTGATTTAAGTGCTGACTTAAAAGGATACATCAACAAAATGTGTTGTTAAAAGGACATGGATGAGAGAGAACTGTCTGCTAGAAACGCCTTTACTCAAATGTCAGCTTCTGTATGGGTCAGTGTGTTACCTCTTTGTCCATTCATCAGAATTTTTTTTTCTTCATCCAATTACCAAAACGAAGACTAATTTGCAATAGCTATGATCATGTAGGCACGTATGCCAGCGCTCATGAACTCCCTACATACTCCTCCAAACCCTGCAGACCTGGCCGCAGTGTGTGTTTGTAAAGGTGTGTCCAGGTGCCTTTCTACGACCCACAGATGTATCGTTTGTCCATGTTTCTGCATGTCTGAAATGACATTGTTGACTGATTTGTTGGTGGTGGTGTGTATCCGTGTGTGTTTCAGAGGGTGCTCCGTTGGCCTGGTGGGTGGGAGGTGCGGGTCCAGGTGAGATCCAGACGCACTGGGGCGGCGCTCTGCCGGGCAGCCGGCAGTGCGCCTGTGGTCTGCAGGACAACTGTCTGGATTCAAATCACTACTGCAACTGTGATGCTGACCTTGAGCAATGGTACTGTATATTGTTGTGTGAGTCAGGTTTTGTCAAGGTTTTGTGACGCAAGAGGAACTTTTAGGTGAAGCAAAAACAATTTTGATCTCATCATGTTCACATATATTAATGAAACCAATCTGAACTTTTGATTTTCAATATTAAGTAGGCAATAATGCAGGATAAACAATAAAGAATGCATTAAACTTATGTAGTTTTCTCACCATAACATGAGGCATTCTATGGTTCATACAATCTTTCTCCTGTAATAGGACACCTTCAAATGCACTACTGGTACAAAGTAAATAGTGCCTGCAATGATTAAGTGGAATCTTGCCTGCTCCATTTAAGTCATTAATAAACAATTCCATGTTTACTCCCATCGTATTCATGCTGGAAAAGAGCCGTGAGACATTCAGGGTCAATCACAAGATATCCAAGCATCCATCTAGGTTTTAAACAATTCTATATTTAAATCCTTTATCCATCCTGTAAGCAATTCTGCATTTAGGTCACCTTCTCCGATCCTGCAACCTATTTTGCAGTTAGACCCTTTTTTGCATATCGTAAGTAATCCTGTTGCTCTCTGCACAGCCAAAGGTCCTTCTCTCTATTATATCTCTGCCGTAATATCTGTTTATTATTGTAGACTTTATTCTGCTGTCAATCCTTCATCACATTGCTTCGCATTTCCACAGCGGAAAAGCACAATAAACCCCACGGAGCTGAGAGATGGAACCGTGAATGTGCCGATGATTCACTCAGCCCACTTTCATTAGAAAAGCACTTCCAACAAATGTTAGCTGAGACGTGTGTCAGCTGAAAGGCCTGTCTTCATTAAAGCATACTCAGCCTCAGTGAACAAAAGCAGACGGTTTTACAGCGTCTCCTGCTCTTTGTAAAAGGCTCCGAGTTCAGGCGGGCACTTGTTTCGCATTGCCTATGTATGTGTGATCAACACACTTTTCAATGTTGACGTCTTTGTAACTTCCTTTTCTACCCCCTCCTCTTGTTCTTCACCCTCTTTTCCACATTACAACTTCCTTTTTACGTTTCTCTGTCCTTCTTTTCCCCCACGCATCTGTTTTTCACCTTACCATCTCATTCCTTCCCCCCTCTTTTCCTACCTCTTTCTTCTGCTTCCTGTCCTCCTGCTTCCTTTTTATATTGTCATCCCATTTCTCCTGCTTCCACGTGTTTGGATTTTTGCTTTTTTCTTCTCCTCCACATGTTGCCACCCTTCCATCTGTCTTCCTCATCCTCCTCATCGTACAGGGCTAATGACTCAGGTCTGCTCACCCATAAGGGAAGCCTCCCAGTCAGGTCTTTGGTGCTGGGGGACATCCAGCGGGAAGGGTCCGAGGCTGCCTACAGGGTGGGACCCCTGCGTTGTCATGGAGACAGTAAGCAACATTTCCCTTGCTGGTTATTGTTTTACAGGACGTCGGTGCCAAAGTTGACACCTTTCCAATGTATGTCTTAAAGCCTCTAGCGGGCAAACGGGAGAACATGGTCAAAGACTTTTTTTGCCATAAACAAAGAGACTTTCAATTTTAATCCTTGCTCCGTAGCAGAAAATGACCAATGTCAATACCCTTGCATGACATTGTTGCTTACAGGCACCACTCAGCATAAGACCGCCCCTCGTTGGCATGACATGGCTTTCCATCCACACCCGTTCTCATTAGCAGGCACTTACCTATGTGGCTTTTAATGGTGATGTGCCAACCTGTGTTCAATGTAGGCGCCACGTGTTTCCCTCCAAGATAAACAAAGCAACACAACTATATCCAGGTTTACTTCCATGCCGTCAAATATGGCAGATTGATCTCTTGCTGTCCTTGTCAAACTATGGCGCCACACGTTCTGTAGTTGTGCCTGGAGTAAAGGAGAAAATCACACTACATACTGTTAAGAGTGATAAAGTCTGTGTATGGATCAAGCCGGCATGAACAACATGGAGCGTTGAAGCTTTGGGCCACTTGGAATTATTGCCCTTTCCTGTCAGAAGCAACGGTGGTCATAATGAATGGGTGGATATTGGTTTTTGAGAACAGAAATTGACACATTGACATGCAAAACTGACAGGTCCAAAAAGCGTCACAGTTTAAAGCTTAAAGCTACTGACCAAGCAGGCACATTTGACCAGTTGGAGGTGTGAACATGTTAAACTGTTCAGTGAACTGCACTACAGCAATCCCTGTATCCCATCTTCTCCCTGCCATTTCATTTCTCAATGAAAAATTGGTTAATAGGCCAATTACACAAGCTAATTAGTAGAGCAGCAACTAAAATATGATCCACTTTTTACTTTAATAACAACCTCTCATTAAAAAGCTATGTGGTAAAACTAATCTAAGTGATTAATTTAGCCTTGTTTTAATGCGTTTAATTTCATCCTTCAGTTTAATGGTTGAATTAATTCATGAATAAACACCAGGCGAGATAAATCCACATAAATGAGATAGTCTTGCTGGAATTATTTGTTCTCAGCTAATTTGCTAAACATTTTAGTGGTTTACTGCACAATTTTCATTATGCAGCCATCTTAATGAGATAATGACTTATATGTCCCCCTTTTGAGGAAATAAATAATGTACACCCCGTTTCATCAAACAAAAGATAAGGAAGCTTGTAAAGCATTTACGCTCTGTGTTCAACACTCTCAGGGAACTTCTGGAACGCTGCGTTTTTTGACAAGGAGACGTCTTACCTTCACTTTCCCACCTTCCACGGCGAGCTGAGCGCCGACATCGCTTTCTTATTCAAGACAAAGTCCTCCTCTGGGGTCTTCTTGGAAAACCTTGGCATCAAGGACTTCATCCGGATCGAACTCAGATGTAAGTGTCATCCAAACGATGTCCTTCCTCATTGTCGAAAAATATCTGGTAGGAGGAGACTCTCAATATAAAAGACCGCAACAACTGACCATTGCATAATGATGTGAAGGTGCCCCTGTATCTTCATCGGCTGAAACGTTTTCTACTGAAAGAAAAAGAAAGATAGTGTCCTTTATTGATCCCCTTGGGGAAATTGTTCTCTGCGTTTGAGCCACAAACGCACTACTCCTACACAGTAGGAGTAGTGCGTTTACTTTTTGATAATATTTAGCTTTTAGTTGGGTAAAGGTTGAAAACCTGTACTTTTACCTGTTATGGAGTAATTCTGCTAATGCAACTTTTACTGTACAGAAAAATCTGTATAACTCAGTAAAAGAGTGGAGAACATAAAGTTTTCTTTACTATTTATTACTTTTGTCAGATCAGTACAATTCATCTAAATATTTCACAGCAATATGTCCATTAGAAAAAAGAATCGACAAGTAAATGCTACAATTTCACTTTGCAAAAAGTTTAAATTGAGAAGATTAAGCAAATCAGCCAGATGACAAAGTCTCCAAAATCAGCACTGGATGTGGAAATTGATCTATAGTTCTATAGACCTGTAGTTGCTCATCGGTTTGATGGATTTCAACAATTTCTATTAGAATTTCAGAAAATTCACCAAATACATTTTTATCATCTACAAATAGATAAAATGGAAACTGCATAACACACTACAGCTTTAAGAGTGTCAAACCCATTGCACACACTACCCTGGTGGATTGTTAAAGTGTGTTATTCTGTGTGTGAAGACAGAGCTGGAAACAAAAAGCGTTTGCTGGGTCTCACTTATCCGAGGAAACAATTATCTTCAAGTATCAGAGACGGTTTGCTAATCAGCCTGGTAGAACTTGCCGGGGAAAAAGTCAAACTCACTCTGCTGCGGTGACAGTGAGCAAGGCATCCCAATGATTCTTAAACAGTCCGTCTACCACGTCTACCCTCTTAACAATTCCAACTTTATGTGCCATTACTCTCCGCTCCAGCTGCCTCGGAGGTCGTCTTCTCTTTCGACGTGGGAAACGGGCCGCTGGAGGTCCGGGTGGAGACGAGCGTCCGGCTGAACGACAACCGGTGGCACAGCATACGGGCCGAGCGCAACGTGAAGGAAGCGTCCCTGCGCGTGGACGGATTCCCTGCCGCCGTGCACGAGGCCCCTGCTGACGGACACACTCAGCTGCAGCTCAACAGCCAGTTGTTCATAGGTGAGACGCAAAGAGTGACAGTTTTATTTCTGCCAATGACTTTGAAATGTCAGGAACCTAAAAGGTGTAGTGGTGATTTGGTTGTTATGGTAAAAGGAGTTGGGTTAAACAAACGCTGCCGATATAAGAGAAAAAGGCAATTTTTTCTAAATACTATTCAACAAGTAATAACCATATAAAAGACTGTGTCCGGACAAGATGCACCGACATCTGTATTTTCTCAGTTGACTGGAAAACCGCAAGAAAACGGACTTCAAAAGGGCATTTAAAACATTCCAATTCTTTTCCACGCTATATCACCAGACAATTATTCCTTTTCACACAACCTGTTTAAGTCGGGACGGCGGGGCAGTTAGTCCTCCTCCCTGCTCTGTATGGGAGGTAAAGAGTCGGAACAGGGAGACGGAGTTGTTCATTCTCTGCACTGACAGTGGAGATAAAGTCAGAGCTGAGCCCACACCTGAGTGAAAGGGATGCAACGGGTGAGACGTTTGGGTGATTTGTTATCTGAGAGCTCCAACCAGGTAATCCAAAAAAAAACGCTGGCACCAAGCGATGAGCCGTATCAGGCTTTGGCCTCGCAGGCAATTCTGGTTCGTAGAACTTTTTTGCCTGGTCTTTTAAAAATGACGAATGAATTTAAAGTATTTTCGATTCACTTAGTTATTTAAAAATCATCTGTTTGGTTTTCATTTATTTTACAATTGGGAACAGTTTGGGTTTTACATTCGTTTTTGTTTCTGTGTTTTATTAATCTCTACAAACATTCTTAATTCTCTTCTCTAATTGTTACCTGTTTAACAGTGTTTGAGTGGCTGAAAATCCAACTTGTATTCTGATCCAGAAAACATTGTGGGTATTTGTTCATTTGTAAACCAGCATTCTGAGGAGAAAATCAACCAACTAATGATGCCATTGGAGAGATGCAGAGAGAAAGGGGCGGGCTTTGATTGACTGGCCACGTTAAGACAATAATCCTTCCATGAAAGGAGTTATCGTATTGTTCTCGCTATGTGGGTATTGGGTTGACGTTTGCTGGCGATTTAGAGGTATCCTAATGTTTGAATGGATTTATGATGGGATTATGAAATAGACTGTGGGATGGGAAGTTTTGTGCTTGTGTTTGACAAATATTTGATTCACAGCAAAGCAAAGTGGAATGTAGTGTCTCTCCTCTCTTGTGTTGAAAAGTATAAAAGCTCCAGAAATTCATCATAAAAAGCTACAATGCAGACATTGTTATATCGCTATCAATAGTCACTCAGTCAGTCATCTTCGCTGTTCCCAGCCAACATCGGGCGAGGGACGGAGTAAAGCCCGCATCGAACGACTCACACCCACGGGCCCATTAGAGTCACTAATTAACCCGACCAGCAGAGCACGTCTTTGGACTGCAGGAGGAAGCCGCTGTACTCGCAGAGAACCAGACACGGGGAGAACATACAAAGCACACAGGAAAGTTGATGTGAACCAATGTCTGAGATAGACAGGAGAAGAACAACTGTGTCTGGACGACAGAACTCCTGAGAACATTAAATGTGACCATCTACTCTCACATGCACACACCTCCGATTACCTGCTGCGTTAAGAAACGCACACAAGTAAACAGGTAGGGAACCATCGCACCGCTTTTCTGGCTACACCGAGGAGGGAAGATCTCACAGGTCGAACTTTTCAATACAAGTTCAACGTGCATGTATTTCGTGCATTGTAACCAAATGTTTCCTAATTGAGCAATTAAATATCCTGCTATTTTGGCCCTCAGTGTGCTGTCTGTGTTCAATAACTGTTGACGTGGATGGAAACAAAAGGCGCAGAGAGATTAGAGATATAGTGTAATAAAAAGCTGCTTCCGGATAAACATTTTATGCTCGGCTCAAACTGTGAGAGTAAAACCCTGCCAATTCCAGTCACCAAGAGCAAACAGTTGCTGGTGACGTCACCAGCTTTTTAAATTTGAATTTTGAATTTTCTATGACTGTGTGTATAATCTCTGTGAACAGTGGGAGGTTTCTAATATTAGGATGCTAATTGTCAGGTGAAAAGATGAAGAGTTTATTCCTTTACGGCTGTGAGGAGAAAGGATTTGTTAGAGACACCAGATGGTTTATCATTCACACAACTAATCTGCATCCAGATGAGACAGGAGGTGTCTCAGTCCCCTCGCAGCCTCCTCAGTGGCTACCTGTGAATACTGTTGTCAGATATGGTGGTTTCTATGTCATTGGGCTGGTGGACATTTTTTACCTCACGCACTACCTGCATTTTCACGTTATTAAGAGAATCGCAGGTTCAGAGATTAAAACGCAACCGGTTGGCACTGCAATACATTGACATTAAAGCCAGGTCACGTTCCGTTGGTAATCTCAGTTAATTTCCTTTCATGTTTTCAACTAAACTATAGCAATATCTTACGTGTTGCATAGAGTCTAAAACTTTTTATAAATCACTACTGAGCCAGCTTTGTAAAGCCTCATTAAAGCTTACATCTCTCCACGCAGTGAATGCTTCTGCGTTGTTTGTAAAAGGTCTTGGTGGAGATGATTAATTGTTTTAATCGTTTTATTTGGGTTGGCTCCATTAAAAGAGTCGCATAGCTGAAATATTGATAACAATTCGGCAGGTTGTCAGGCTGCGTGGTACCAGTCTGTCTGTGCAATGCACACAGTGTGCTCAGAGTTGTGTATATTTGTTTTTTTGCTTGAAGGAGGCACCGCCTCCAGACAGAAGGGCTTTCTGGGCTGCATCCGCTCTCTGCAGCTGAACGGCGTGACTTTGGACCTGGAGGAGAGGGCAAAGGTCACCCCAGGAGTCCGACCCGGGTGCCCGGGCCACTGCAGCAGCTACGGCTCTCTCTGCCAGAACCAGGGTCGCTGTGTGGAAAGAGTCATTGGCTTCTCCTGCGACTGTGACCAGTCAGCCTACACTGGAGCCTTCTGTCATGAAGGTACGAACATGTAAAATGTTCACTAAAGACTTCATATGTTATCATTGATGTTGGTGTAGCAGTGGATCATTTGAATGTAGATACAAACCGGTTTTCTCTGCTTCTAACGGATTTCACTTTCAGCGTATTAATAATATTCACTTTCTTCGCAGGTGCAGATCACATTATTTCAGTACTATTAAATTAAATTTTGCTAGAAAATCCAATCTGCTGGGATTTGATTGTTTGATGGACAGTTTGAAAGACTGGACTGGTATGATGTCATTATGAAGACAAAACAGCCTCTCCTCCAATTTAGAGTTTGCGTCCCAATAATGGCCATGACTTTCTTTTCAGAGTAAGAGACGACGGAGGCAAATTTAGCATTAATATTAGTATTATTTATAAATGTTTCCATTGTTACAAATAAGGTTAAGGAATAAGGAACAACTAATAAATGTAGTTCACTCTGCTTTGATATGCTGATATTGTAAATGCAATTTAGTATTTTCAAAAAACATTAATCATATAAAAAAGACAATAGAAATGTCTTTGCACCTCCATATCGCTCATATATCTCAGGCGCTTTGTTACTGATGCAATACAGGGGGGCATTTCAGAGTGAAAGCCGTACATAAGAAGCAACTTATCCCTTTTCTAACTTGCAGAGGTTTCAGCCAGCTTTAAGTCATCAACGTCTGTTGCCTACAAATTCAAGGAGTCCTATGAAGCAAAGAGGAACATCAGCACCTCGCCTTTCTCCATTTACTCTGATCTGACGCTGAGAGGAGAAAACATTTCTCTGAGCTTCAGGACCAGTCAGTGTCCTGCTCTGCTGCTCTACGTCAACTCTTTCCATAGGGAGTACCTGGCACTACTCATCAACAAACACAGTGAGGACCATTACATTGTTCGTCCCATTCGCATTTTGTGGGAGGTGGAAGTTGAGTTTACATTTGGGTTATGTTCCAAGTGGTATTATGGAAAATTCAGAATCCTGCATGAAATGTCTCTTTGAAAGGAGTGACTATATACCTTCTAAGAGGTTCGAGTCAGCGTTTGAACATTTTCTAAGGAGAAAGTGCTTAATTCTCATAGACTGGTTACATTACGTCTCATTAGTTTTCGCTTTCATTTATCTGATTTGTACCAATCAATAAGTAACTAATAATGCACTATTCCTCTTACTGAATGTTATTATTTGACAATATCATGTAATTCATTTAAAATATGTCTCTTTAGCTAGTAATGCTCATTACTAACAAAGAAAACAGGATTCCAGCTTCATTTTCTACATGCCTGCTTTAAATAGCAAGATTGTGCTGTTGTTCTCTATTTGCAAAGATGAGCTGGAATTGAGGTACAAGTTGCACGGCAGCAGAGATGTGGAAGTGATGGGGAGCGGAGTCACAAACTTGGCCGATGGACTTCTGCACACAGTGACCATCAGGAGACTGGCTGACGCCGTCACTGTGCAGGTACACACACGCACAACACACTTCACACCGTGCGTCACAGATCACCACATACGTAAAACTAAAGCGTAGGACGGCATCTTTTGTCATTTTTTTCCGATATTCAATGTTCCTTTAAATATCTGTTTAAACATTGCATTTAAAACCGCTGATAACGAAAGGCAGAGTGCACAGGGACATGACTGGGCTAAACGCTGGTTGTCATATTATTCCTTGCAACTGCTGGCAGATGCTTATATTGTGACCCGCTGGTTATTTTTATGTTCCTAACATAGTCATAACGTACTCCAAACAACGCTAAAATAAACATTTTGTGTAAAGGAGCATCATAGAATAAGAAATTAAAGATCTGTCCCATCAGAAGAAGAACATTAGAAGACGTCTTATTGATAAATGAGCTGCTAAAACCCACATTTCTTTGTTTGCAAGGAACGCATCAAACAAGCTCTTTTATTATAAAAGTGTCCCACTCTGACGCATCTACCATCTGTCAAGACTCTGTGAATTACTGTGTCTCAAGCATCTATTGGTTTCCAGTTTTGTGGTTAAATCCCATTTAGATATGCAGGTCAAACCAGAGGTTCATCCTCTGGTTATCTTTGCACGTTTAATTGCTTGCTTCTTTGCAGCCATTTGTTGTTTCATCACAGAGCAGCCTTTGTTTAAACACACAATATTAGAAAGTGGTCCTTGAATGTGTGTTCCTGTTGCTGGTGTTTGCTATCTACCTGATTGGCCCTTACCTTTTATAGAAGTTCCCTTTCATTGTCTTTCAGATTGACCAGAATGCCAAGGAGCACTTCAGCTTGACATCTGATATGGAATTCAACGGCATCAAATCACTCATTCTGGGCAGAGTACAGGGTAAGCGAGGCGCTCTTCGCTCAGACTCCAGCACTTAAACAGACTCATTTGAATAACAGCGCTGAGATGTTTTGGCCCCTATGCGACAAAACACTGTTCGGGAGCTTTATGCTGTTTTCTATTCATCACGTTGGGTGGACCGGAGGGAACAGCTGTGGGGCTTTTATGAACAAGTGTAGGCTACATACATATTTAAATGGTCACAGAGAGAGCACTTTACTGTGGAGATGCAAAACAAAAACCTTAAAAATGACAAAAGGTGCAGCAACCCACTTAAGTTGCTGTCATGTGGCACTCGATGCATTTTGAAGCTAGATGGGAAGGTAAAGTATCCATGCGAATGGTATTGTTTTTTCACATAAGCTAATGGAACACAGTGTGTGTTTGTGAACCTTTGTCTTTGTTATGGAAGCGGTGAGTAGTACCGTCCGCATTTCTGTCTCGCTTAGCAGGGCCTCACACAGCTGTAATGGTAATAACTTCAGAAAAAAAGGCCTTCACTTTGTATGGTAATGAGGAGAGATTGAAACGAACAAATTACTCGGGAGATTGGAGTCAGCGCCCGACAATATAGCATAACAACCAATAAGTCTCAGCTGCTGCGCGAGGGCGACGCCAGGAAGTCAGAGTTCAGCGTCTCTCTGCCTGACGGAGCATTTTACGTCCACATCAATCCTGTTGTCCCCGGGGATGATCCGTCTGTCCCAGGCCTCTCTCAAAGGGGAAAGACTTTGTACCAGAGAAATGGAATTCAACAGACCACAGTGTGGACAATGATTAGTAATTATCCAACATTTCAGGGTTTTTAAATGTAATTGGCTCTGTGAAATGAACACAGATTCGTGTTAAAGTCTGAACGAAGGGTAAACAGGAAATCCGTGTCAGGTGACACTGAGTGTCAAAGTCCGGTCCTCTATTCAGACGGTGATGCTGTTGATTCTCTCTTGCCAAGGTAATATGTGATGATTCTGTACATGATTCCAGGGTGCTTTGTGAGTCCACCTTTAAAGCAAAGATTTAACATGTTATGCTAAATAAAGCTGCCAAGTGCTTGTCACACCACACTGGTAACACCTGATTGAAAAACATTGAATGCATTCAGTATGACATCGCACAATACCGTCAAAGTTATATACAAAGTTTAAATGAACTAAGCTTTAAATATTGCCTGTGTTCAAATTAGTCTGTTGAATATTTGAGGGTACTCCTTGTATACTGACACAATTAAAACTGGCTCTGTTGCTGTCATTCAAAATTCATTTTGTAAAGGTCGCCATGTTAATGGTTGTATGATTTTACCTAAAATAACGACTTATTGCTTTCAACACTGAATATTTTATTTTATTTTTTATCTCAAATAGTTTTACACAAATTGAAACCAGAACTAGAAACAGGGAGGGAATCTATGGACTCCATTGAGCTTCCAATCCTATATGCTTGGAAGATGAGCCACAGCAATTGATAAGTCTTTCATATTTGTATACATATGGTATATCTCTACAGATATACCATATATGGTGGTGTGTAACCCAGGCTTCCATTTGCCGAGCCAGAGGACCTTGGCAGTCAGATCAGAGTCAGAGAGGCAGCGAGATTGTTGATATACTGTCTCTTTACCTGCCAGCGCTGTCATCTATCAGCCTGACTGATGGACCAGGAAAGAGTGGAGAGACCCAGCTGCTCACACACAGAGAGCGAGGGAGGTGAGGCGGGGTGAGATAATGATACAGGGAGCGGCAGGGGTGAAGGGCTCCAGCGCGGTGTAGGTGGACAGTAATCGTTAGTTTTGGGATACAAGGCCAGTGCTGTCAGTTTAATGTTTGACTGATCGCACAAACCTAAAATACTTGTTTGTGAACTCAGAGACTCTACTTAGTATGGACATGATAGTATACATTTGTACATGTTCTAATAAGCACATCGTTTTTCTTCCTTCCCTTTATTTGTTTTTATTTGTTTAAAGAAGAACAACACATTTTAGCATCAAGTTTTACTTTGGTTTGGTTCCAAATGGTGCTTTGCTTCCACCATATTCTCAGATACTAATTTATTACTAACCTGGCACCCGTTGATGTGCCACTTCACACCACTTCACACCGCTGCCCGATTCCCAGACTACTTATCTATACTTACGCTCCCTGCTTGTGCGTCTCGCACCCATAGCAGCTCTTCTTCTTTGGTCCCTTAATAAATTCCTGTCGTCACAACTTGCTGTTTCTGTCTGTGGTGCGGGTCACTGAATGCATGACTGAGGATGATGTTTAAGTCAAGGAATATCTCAACGCACAATCCCCTCATTAAAGAGTGCTGGCGGAATGATTCCTAAATTCTGTAAACGAGTGAAGCCTTTTGGCAATTCCAGTTCCATCTTAAAGTTGTTGTTTTTTTGGGGTTAAATGCCTGAAATAAGATCTGTGGTTAAAACAAGCATGAGAGATTTTAGCATTATCTTGGGCATTATATGTCAGTAAGTGTAGCTCTCATGAAATTTGTATCAACAAGACTAAAATAAATGTCACCACGAGGAACGGTGGTCAGGCCTCAGCTTGTTGTGGTTACGCGCACTCATGCGGTTGTGGTGTAATGCATCCAAAGCCTACAATCACTTTTTACTCGAGCCCCTCCATGCCTTGAGAATCATAAAAGTTGTGTTAAGAGATTATCTTGCTGAAACATATCGTAAACTTCCCAGTGTGCTTTTTGTTGAGGCCACCGGTACGATGCTAACATGTCCCCCGTGCAGCAGTCACTAAAGACATTGCCAGGGTGAGTTATTGCTCTAAAGATCTGCTTTTCAAGTGAGAAATCAAGTTTGAGTAAAAAGTACCTATACTTGATTTTGAGGTAGTGCAGATTTGGAAGAAGTTCTCAGATCCCTTACAATAGGAAACCATGTACGTGCAATAACCATGTAACAGAAAATAATTGATGCGCTGCGGCACACAGCTTTTCTATTGGTGCTGAGGGCGGCACATGGTGACGCCACGAGGCAATGCGTCTGCAGTGTTGATTTCAGATTAATACAACAGAGAATATAATGCCTCGAAGGCTGCTCATGAGATATAAACGTGTGTCATAAGATACGTAGTCAAGTAGAATTAGTTCCTGCTGCTGAGAGGATCACATTCATTTCAAAACCTAATCAAAGCTTAATCAAATATTCAGCTGATAAACAGCCCCCTCCCGGGAGGCCACTCGGCCCATTCATGTGGTGAAAGGTTGCTTCTTACCGATAATACCTTAGATGAGTGGCATTAATGTGCTGCGTAATTATATTACTCTACAAGAAGAAGGATAACTCACATTTCAGTGACAGTGTTGTGGTTATAACAGAGATGGGCAATCTTGACCTTTATAGCTGTTAGTAGTGACATTCACTTAATCCGGTAAAAACTTCCTCTTGACTCTGCTCTTTGACCATGAAGGTATTCAACTGTATTGTTCAGTGGGCCACATTTTCAGTCTGATGCCCTGTGATGCACTGCGCTGGTGCGGCGCTTGCAGGCACATGACGCGGGATCAACCAAATACAAAACAGTATGAACAAATAGGAATATTTTGGGAATTTTTTTTTTAAAGCATGGCCTTTAATATCTAAAAACATGGAAAACGTTTTGCAGCATCAGAATAGATATTAACATGACCTTGAGAGAAACCACTTATCATCACAAACGTTGCCTCGTCGCGATAAATGCTTATTTCTACTTCATTTCAAATGTGTGATTTTCTCCTCACCGCATCTCTCTTGTCTCTGTGTTTGCCTCTGTCCTCAGAGTTTGAGGAGGTGGATGCAGAGCTCTCCAGCTTGGCTTCTCTCGGGTTCACTGGCTGTCTGTCAGGTGTTTGCTTTAACTCCATCAGTCCCCTGAAAGCTGCCCTGCTGCACCCGGACAGCCCTGTTATTGTTAGCGGCCCATTGGTCCAGTCGAGCTGCGGCGGCTCCTCCACTTCGGCCAATCCGTACACGACAGAAACCACGCACTCCTTATCAGGTAAAAGGAGCAGACTCAGTCCTCACATCCCTCATTCTGAATGACATTGGGTAATCAGGGCCACCGGCCTCCCTCTCTGGCAGCAGCCGTAAGGCCGTTCATTAGACTCCTTATGGCCTCCGTCCTGCAGACACAGTGACAGACGAGATTAGTCAGACAACTGTAGTGACTGTGATGCCGTTCTGAGGTTTTCAAGCACGCACTGTGTGCACTGACTGATGTTTGCGAGAGTGATCTATCAATCTCTCGTTACCTCGTGTTCTTTATTGTTCTCTACTTTCTACCTTTCTTTTCTGGACTCATTTTCTCCCTTGTTGTTTTTTCTTATCTGTCTTTCTCTGCACAGACCAACCTGGTTCTGTGGATCCGGGTCAACCTTTGGTGAACTCCATCAGGAGTGACTCAGTGCTTGTCGGAGGTAATGCAATCGATATTAGGAGGGGCATGAACAATCGATTCGAATATAATACTTGACTGACAGCTATATATTTAAGAAATATGACATTGTAAAATGGGTTGGTAAAAAAAAAAAGAATGTTTTTTTAATAGGAGCAGTGAATCATTTTTGCTCTATGAGTCTGAGGAGAAAAAAAGGCAGTGAGTAATGGGTTGGCTACCCAACGAAAATAAAGCTTTGCTGAAGAAATGAGATAAAAAACCATATGCTTGGGTAATATTAACTTGACTTTGTTTGAGCCTTTGAACTTTTTACTGAATGGATACAGAATCCTTGTCCGGGGGATGGAAATAACATATGAAGAAAAAAACATTTTGACACACATGTAAACACCTGGAAAAGTACTCAAACCGGCCACTGTGGTAGTTGTACAGTAGACCAGACCACATTTTGCTATGATGACACAGACAAATAAGTTTCATTTTTAATAAAGAACATTTGTATTTACCTCGTTTGTTACTTTGTAAAACATTACAAAGTAACAAATGAGGTAAATATAAATGTAAATATAAATCTATTTGTTTGTGTTCTTCAGGTTCTTACCGTTTTTTAAACTTGCATCATTAAAGCACCTTCTGATATTTTCTGTTTTTTAGGTGTGATTGCAGTGGTGACTTTTGTCACTGTGTCTGCCATGGCGATAATGGGCAGATTCATCTGTAGCAGGAAAGAGACTTATAGAAAACAGGAGGTAAAAACAGCAGCACAGCCAGAAGATTGCCACGAGCTCCCATTCAGCGGCCGGGCCGAATCTCTGGGCGCTCCCAGTGAGAACCAAAAGGAATATTTCATTTGACAGGATCCCGGAGTGAGCACTGACCCGACAGGACAGAACCGCAGGAATTACCCAGAGCTCCGAGCCGCTGAGCCACTGGCACCGGATTAATGTGAAAAAACAGAACAATTTTGGAGTTGTTTTAGTTCCTTTCTGCTGTCATTCTAAAGATGTGCTGTAAATATTGCTGAGTGGTTATTTGTGTGCTTATAATAATCATCATCCAACAATTTGAAAATAATTCAATGGAAACACACAGAATTTATCTGTTTAACTCTTTTCCAGTTGAACAAAACTTTGAACTTGTTCATTTATAACACACTTTTTCTACAAGGACGATACACCTTCTGCAATGTGTGATGTCGGAGCCATGCAGTATCTGTCATATAATGAGAAGAATATAAACACAATTTCAGAATCAGCTGAAATCTGTTGCAAGTAAACAGGATTTCAACACATGCTGTATTTATGAATACATTAAAGTCACTTGTTTGGTCTTTCACACTTTTGCTCTTTGAGTTAGTCAGGAAGCTTTTATGTTACTTGCTTGACTTTTTCTTTATATCATGAGAAAAATAAAAACTTTATAAAGAGACGAGTATATTTTTGGGGATACTTTTACTTCTTGCCTGCACAGTACATTTAGCAGCCGACACCTGAAATCTCAAAGTAACTTTCAACAGTGAAGCTGCAGCACAGACCATAAAACCCCGACTGTCTGTCACCTCTCCTGCCCGGCCAACAATCCACGTGTGCCTGACAAGTATACTACGATATAATAAGAATGGAAATCGAGAGGTTATTAAAGGACAGACGGAATTGAAGAGAAGCTTCCTTCCTGCTTTCACTATGATTTCATACCCATTGATGTTGCTTTCTTACTGCTGGGGTATCTGTTCTTTAATGAACACATCTACTGTAAAAGCAAGATTATGATATATTGAATGCCAGACTGTGGTGTGGAACGATAATGCCCCCAGTTGAATGGCAGAACTCTAGCTGAGAACAAAATAAAAGTAAACTGTGTGAACACTAATTCAAGTCATTGCGTTGTCACGACAGCAACAACAAACTGTGGTAGAAACACTGTGTTTTGACTCAAATGAGGTCTTTTGTTTTCTTCTTAATGAAAGCTGAAACACGGCATCACTCTCAAGACTAAATTTAACTAACGAACTAATGATTTACGTCATGGATTGTTTTACTTCGTAAACTTTCAAGGCGAAGTTTCTACATAGAACATGACATTGTTAATGTGTATTTGTATGCTTCTTTCTGTGGATGGAGATAAGAGCAGCTGACTAAATTAATAAAACATCAAGGACATACAAATGACTGGATCAGAAACATCATTGACAGGAAATTAAACACAATTCAATTGTGGTCAGAGATGTTAAACAGTGTGTATTACATCTAATGCTTTACAAGAAACGTTAGAAAGTCACCAATAAATATTAGTTTCTTAATATTGAACGTGTTTCATCTTCAAATTACACCAACTTTCAAGACTGCACCTCCATGCGTCTCCCGTCATACAGCCGCCCGTGTGCAGTCGATTGGATGAATGGTTCTCGAGATACACGCACACACACACTTTATTACAGACAGATATTCTTTGCAGATAAATTATATGAATTTTGATTTGAGCATCCAGAAAATTGTCACTCATCTCTTACCCTATAAATGTACTTGTAGTCTTCTTAAACAACGATTAAATTGCCAGCACAGCCACTTGATCATCTTAGTTTTCATGCAATATCCTGCCTTTTATTATAGTCTTTGTTGTTTGTCAAGTATTTAAATAGACGTAGGCAACCGTCGCTGCAGGTGGCATTCTCACAAATACATTATCTTCAGTTACTGAATATTTTATACAGCTTTACATTAACAGCACACAGAATGTGCACTCAGAGAAAAAAATGTTAAACATAAAAGTTACAATTATACTAAATACTGAAACTTTCTCTGGACAGATTGCTGTTTTGAAAACATTTTTTATTCAGGTCATTTTATTCAATTTATCATTTTACTAAGAAGCAGTTGCAATTGCCAATCCATGACAATAGACAATAATTACAGATTTGGTTGTCATTGAACATGTTAGGTTCAGTCCTACCGTAGTTGCAACTTGCAAGACACAATATTTACTCATTAGTTAATAAAAAAACATCTACCCAGCTTTTCGTTTCCATCAAAATATATTTGCTGTTCAAAATGCCTTGTATATTTAGCAGTACGTCTGGTGATACAGAATGCCGTCTTGAGGCTTGTGAGTCCATCCGGTTTTAACCCAGGTCTGGAATTTGGAACATACAGCATGTCAAACACGTCAAACACACCAGGCCGCTTGCGCCTGCCGCTCCATCGCATAATGTCTTACTGGTTTGCCGCTTATTTAGAATCAGATATGTTGCTACCTTCGGGGAAGGTTTGATGGATATTTGTTTGGGACATTGATATTATTCTATTTGGGTGGTAGAATTTGCTTCCCCTGATGTGCCAGAAATACAGCTAGCTTCACACCAGCCAAACCCATCGATGACACTCAGTGTGGGCAGAGCTGCAGCAGATTTGTTCAACCGGAAAAGTATTTTAAACGACTTGGACATTTTATCTGAACTGGCTGCTGTTCAGCGATGAATCTCTGGGACCGTTCATCTGATAATCCATCAATAAATTAATCCGTGTCTACTCTGATATGTTGCAAGGTTTTCTTTGTTTGAAAAGAGGACCTTGAGTGTTAATCGTATCATTGTTCTCTTTTGTTCCTCAATTGCAGTCATTTTACTTTTTAAAGTTCTTTTCCACTAGAGCAATACAAGTTCAGCGTTAATCTACACTCACTGATTGTTTTACAATCTCTCAGAGCTTCCTTATCTGCTGCTGTACTTTTTAAATACTCGTTTTGCATCAGTTTCACCACAGGATTCCAAAAGGTCATCTTTAGTACAACGTGGGCAACAGCATTCCACGGCCCACTGGACTGTTAATAGAATTTAACACACTGCTCACTCAAGGTTGGTGTCAAGTGTTATGTATAAATGAGCTCGCACTTGAAGGAAGAGGGTTGATTAATGTTTCTCCGCGCACATGGAACAGCAGCAATTAGTGTTGGGAAAAGAGCAGGCAGGGAATTAGCTGCTGGTTTTCATGCTGCATTCCGGAGGTGGGCCGTATAATTCCCAGCAGCCTGCTCCCAGATTAGTGATCTGATGAGACTGCGGCGCTGCAAGCAGAAAACACATCGCCACCCACCTGATTACAAACGACACCGCAGACCCCTGCTGACGGTTTGTTTTCATCAGAGTTGTTGTCAAAAACGGACGACGCATTGCTCTCTGGCCTAACGTTCACAAAACACCACGTCGAGTTTTAAGGACGTGGGATTGAGCAAGGATGTCCAACCACCCAGACTTCAATTCAACTTTATTCAATTTATTTTCTTTAGAAGTCTTAATAGACAACGGTGCAACATCACCTCTCTCTTTTCAACACCACAGAAATGTCCAAGAAAGAAGGTGTGTTAGGTTAAGCAGTTGCTGGTTTTTGAAAGCGCAACATCTATACAGTCGTAGACTATCAATTAGGAACATTGTTACATCTCCTCCGTGCCTTGCCAGGGTTCAGCCTCCCAGAGATCAGATAGGAGTAGAGACATGGATCATGGGCTTTTCTGCTCCACCGATCACATCTCAGCACCTCGCAAATATAAAGCGATCTGGCGGACACAAAGTCTCCAGCACCTAATGTTTTATTGATATTATGCACACAAACAGTCAGAGTTCATCCCTCAGATCGTTGGCTGCTTCTGTTCATCACACAAGATGTCAGCAGGACCTCAGGTTCACCTCCAGGTGTCTGCACGGATGATGCGTTGCAGTAACATACAGTACACAGTACAAGCTGCTTGGTTGTTATCAGGACATGATTTTCAGCATTATCAACGGAATGTGAAGAGGCTTATTTGGTGGGGAGTCTATGCAGTCCCGCGGAGCCACACCCCAATGATGGGTTCTCCAATAGCTGAATTAGTATTACGGCATCAACAAACTACACACAGTCAGTAGCTTCAAGGAAACAACCTCAACTTTCTTCTTCTTCTTTCTTCTCCTCTGGTTTCCGACATATGCAGCCCATGTTAACCGTCTTCAACTTCCTTCTGCTGGTAATGGGGGCTTAATTTATCTAAGAAAGATGTCCCTGGCATAAACCGAGTGCTTTTAGAGAACGTACATAAAATGTAAATCAGACGAACATACCAGAGAACTAAGTTCCCGGTTGTACATAGATTATTAGAAAAGATGTGTGACATTTCTATTAAATAAACTAAATAAATGATATTCAAATAAAACAAATTAGAAAAAAATCGAAATCCCAAAGACCTTCATGTATAAAATAAAAGCTCCACCCACGGTTGCTCATGGACTGCTGTGGTGTAATTTGTTTGTAATTTGTTTTAAGTTTAAGTTTTAACCTGAGTGGGCACAGTTCAGTGCTCCAAAAATATTGCAAGGACAGCCTATTGTTAACAATCTTTGTACTTGGTTTGAGAGTTCATAGAAAGTTGCTAACTCTTGGTTTTAAAAACAAAAGTCTGAGCGTGGGTGGTGAATTTGATCGTAAACCTCCACTAACATGTTTTGGCGAGTTGTTGAAATAAGTTGTGAAACCATCAGAAATGATGACGTTTTATGTTACTACGGCAAACCTGTAAACCAAAAATTGTTATCTGAACAGTTAAGGAGCAACATCCCATTTCCCTTCATTTTGAATTTTATTTGCTTTTTTATATGAAATGTTTTCAAAGCAGATCTACTTTGCTGACATGTACAATTGTACAATTCTGAACTAAGTATTGATTTGTTCAGACATCACATTTCTTTTTTGTTTATCTCTGTTTCTTCTGATCTTTCTATACCTGTGGTATTCCTAGAGCAGACACCAGAGAAGAAGGCACAAAGTCATCCACAGGTGAGCATGGAGAATAAAGTTTAGCTTCCCCATCCGACAGATTGAACCGTAGCTACAGTGAATGCTGCTCCTGGGCCGGCTCTCTGTATGCACGAAGGTAAAATCAATACGTATGCAAAAATGCTGCAATCGATGCCCTTGACGCTGTTACAACGTGCTAATGCCAACCGGTGGGGTTTCTCTGTAGTGTTTTATCAGAGAGTCCCAAACCATTGTTGGTCCATGCAGATCAATAAGCAACCAAGCTCTACGCTGTGATTTAAGCCCACACACACATTTGTTGGTGTATTTTGACTCAAATACATTCAGTGTTTCTTTCCAACCAGCCACTTGCGTCATTCCACTCCTCCGTGTAATTATTCAGTCTCTGATCCTGTAATTCATCCGTAGTGCTGTTTAGGGCCCAAGGTCAGAGAGGAGGGGCCGGTGAGCCAAGTGATAGATTAATGGTCTCCAAGGCTTGAACTTGCACAGAGAAACATTTCACCAAAGACCCAGTAAACATATAACGAATATCTAATATCCCATTATTTATGTTTAGAAAGGACAGGGTAAGAGTAGAGGAAACATAAACATTTCACATTTTTAGTCCATTTTTCCAGATTTGAAATCCATATGGGGAGCTTAAAATGTGTATTTTCATAGGAACTGAAAGCTCCTGAATTAATGTGCAAAACTTTCATTGTTCATTTTCTTATTGATGACTTAAAGCCTTGACGCATTTCATCAAGGTTTTAAATCTTTAAAACTTTAAGTGAAGAGTGTGCTATAAATAAATTGTATTAGTGTTATTATCCTTGTTTATTCTCAAATTCCGCATTAACTGTTATTCACTCACAACTAAATAATCATCCATTGAACTGCCTCGTTTTCCCTGAAACACTGTTCATGACGCCTTGGCAGCATTCACCCGGAACGTGAAAGGAAAGACATTTTTGCTGTGGCTTTAGAGTAAGTTGAAAGGGGAGATTGTCAACACCAGTGCAGAGGAGCACTGATCGAACATCTGTATTTGATGAATTTTAGCGTCGGAGGACCAGCCGTCAGTTGGGTCGTCAGATGGCAGCTCTTAGGAAACAAGAGGTGTTGTCTTGGTCCTTACGGGTCCTTTCTCCCAGAGGAACATTTCTCAAACAGGTGTTTGCCTGTGTGGAAAAGGTTGGTCACTTTCCTTGCCGCCCTTTTCTTTCTGCCAGTGGGATCAGAGTCTCGTGAGTCTCTGCGGCTCGGCGTCAGGGCCAGCGGTGGCCCTCTGATGGATAGGTCTGGAGGGCATCTAAGCATCGTAACTAATTATGATTAATGCCTCTGTGTCTGTTGGACCACAAACTGCAGATGCGTGAAATTAACTTCAAT